AACTCCCAGGTGCTTCTTTTGAGGTTTGCTCATGAGCCCTGGAACAGAGCTGCTTGATAACCTGTTCGGACTTGCTTTGGCCAATTTCTTTTTTTTTTTGTTTTTTTTTTAAATAGAGGCATGTTTATTTATTTATTTATTTGTCTGTTTGTTCTGTTTACACATGCACTGGGTACAGTCAGAAGCACGGGAGGGTGAGAGAATTCACCAGAGCCAGAGTGGGGAGCAGAGCAGGCAGAAGGACCGAAGTACACTGCTGAGGGGAGCAGCGGGCGGCAGGAGAGGTCTGCGCGCCATGTGGGACCCTCCTCCGGTGGCCGGGGAGCAGCCGGGGATCGAACCGGTGCTGCAGAAGCCGCAGGCAGCTTCGCAACCCAGCGCTCAACCGCTGCGCCACCGGGGAGGCCCGCTTTGGCCAATTTCTGCTGGTCAGGGTCTGCTGACTCTGCAAAAACAAACTGGCAAAAGTTTGTGAAAAGGAGGAGGGGGAGATACCCGGGAAGGGAACAACGAGCTTGCATTAGCCACTCCTGTGTGACACACTTGAACTTTGCAGAACTGTTTCTGATGATGGTTTGTTTTTTTTTAAGATTTATTTATTTATGCATACAAGAACTGGGGTACAGGCAAGAGGTGTAGGGGCTGAGAGGATTCACCAGACACAGAATGGGGGACAGAACAGGCAGACTGAATGAAATACACTGCTGAGGGGAGCAGCGGGCGAGTCAGGAGAGGTCTGCTGCGCCATGTGGGTAGCTCCCTGGGCGGGGATCGAACTTGTGCTGCAGTGGCTGTGGATAGCTTTCATAGGTTGCGACTTAACCCCTGCATCACCAGGGAGGCCCTCTGATGATGGTTTAATGGCACCAATTGCCCACCTTCACTTGCCAAGGTTTTCAAGCATGTGTAACAGATTTTCGGACATGTAGTAACCTTGTGAGGAAAGCAGAGTCGCTCATTTTATTTGACTCATAAGCAAATTGAGACTGTGGGTGGCTTAGTAGATGGAAGGCAGAATTGCGAAGTAGTTAGCAACACAAGCTGTGGTGTCAGATGGATCTGGGTTGGGTCCCAGCTCTGCAATTTGCTGGCTGTGTGACCATGGCACTTGCACCACCTCTCTGAGCAGCAGTGTCCTCATCTGTGCTGATGCCTGTACTCACAGGCTTGGGGGAAGGATTAATTGAAATGATGTATGCAAAATGCTTAGCCCTGTGCATGGCATTCCAGAAATGGCAGCTGTTATTCATTCAACAAATATTTACTGAGCACCTGCTATGGACCAAGCTCCTACTATGGACCAAGCACCAGGTGGTGAGGATACAACAGTCAAAAGCCCCCATTCTCATGTTGCCTGGATCTGAGCTGGTGAGGGTAGTAGTATGCAGGTGTCTGGAGAGAGAAATGTTTCAGGCAGAGGCAGCAGCAGGTACACAGAGTGCTTTCCCCCCCCAACATGTTGTTATGAAAAATTTCAAACAGACTAAAATAGTCGAAAAACTTGTATAGTAAAAAGCCATTCACCTCCCACCTAGATTCAACAATTAACATTTAACTATATTTGTTTTATGTCACATCTGCTTTATTTTGTATCAGATGCCCTGCCTTCAAGATTTGGAGATAGAATAACTAGATCTGTAGTCAGAAAACAAGGTTCTCTTGTAAGACTCAGAGGGGAAAAGAGAACTCTCCCCTTTTGACACATCTGCTAGGAGAGGCCAACTGCTGCTGGGGACACCTTCCTTTTTGAAGGAAAGCCTCTCTGTTCAGCTAGGAGCTTTGTGCTCTCACCTGGCTATCAGTTCCTCCCCCTGGGGCAGGATGAGGATGCACAAGGGCTTGGGATGCTGTAGAGCTGGCTGCCATCCACACTGAGTTTGCCATCGGCGACTGCAGGGAGGGGGTCTGGCAAGGAAAGGAAATCTTCAGTGCTCATCTGGCTGACTTCCGGTGTCCCTGAGCAGCAGGTTTGGCTGCCTGTTTTACAAGCTTCTGGCCTAGGATCCAGGCCGGTGAGGGTCACATTCATTTATCCACTGCAGAGGAGCACCTTCGTAAGGGAACCCTGTTTATGGGACGCTTTGACTGCCAGAAAAAGATTACAGATCAGAACCAAGGACAACCATGAGTGGAGCGGAGATCTCTGATCTCTTACCTCTAAGGATCGGGACACCCCCTCCCTTATTTACTGCTGGGGTAGCAGAGGGCTTGAAATCCTGCATTCACAGACATTTAGAATGTGAAGAAGATCTAGAAGTTCTCTGGGCTAGAGTTCAGCAGGCTGAACCAGAGGGCGGAAATTTGACTGCCTGGGTTAAAATCCCAGTTCCACTGCTTTTAGCCCTGTAACCTTGGGCAAATCATCTATCCTTTCTATGCCTCCGGTTCCTCATTGTAACACAAGGCTAACAGCACTCTCTTTGCAGTATCATTAGCTGCATTCATTGGTAAGGGCCTAGAGCGCCTGCAATGGCAAGTGCTTAATAAATGTGAGCTCTGCAAAACATCTAAAGCAAAAGTAACCAGCGTGAGTGGTTTGCAGTCATTTTTTCCTGTGTATGCGTTAACATATTGTTATTATTTTACAAAAGTGGGACAATACTGTGCAGACTGTTCTGTAACTTTTTTTTTAAATTTTTTTTTTAAAGATTTATTTATTCTTATGCAAGAGCTGGGGTACCGGCTAGAGGCACGGGAGGGTGAGAGGATTCACCAGAGACAGAGCAGGGAGCAGAACAGGCAGATGACTGAAATACACTGCTGAGGGGAGCAGCGGGCACAACAGGAGAGGTCTGCTGTGCCATGTGGGAATCTCCCTGGCCGGCCAGGAATTGAACCCGTGCTGCAGAGGCTGCGAACAGCTTCACAGCGCGGTGCTCAACCCGCTGTACCACTGAGGAGGCCCTGTTCTGTAACTTGTTTTATCACAAAATACCTTAGCCTCTCCGACATTTAATATATCTTCAAAGTATTTTCCTCTGGATTTTCTACCTATGTTTAGAACCATCCTATTGGTGGCAAGTTGTGGGTCCTGTACTTTGCTTAACCAGTCCTCTACCGTTGGATATTTAGATTATTCTCAATTTCTTCCTTCTGTAAAGCTGCATGAACAAGAAGTGACTGGAATCAACTGACTGTATGACGTTGGATATGACCTTCTGGGTCTTATTTTCTTCACCCGAAAACAAAATAATATGATCCTACTAGGTGATTAAAGTCAATAGTGAGCCACTTCTGAGTTGCCATCAAGACATCCATGATGGGCCTCCCCGGTGGCGCAGTGGTTGAGCGCTGGGCTGCAAAGCTGCCTGCAGCCTCTGCAGCGCTGGTTCGATCCCCGGCCACCGGGTGAGGGTCCCACATGGCTCTCAGACCTCTCCTGCCGCCCGCTGCTCCCCTCAGCAGTGTACTTCGTCAGTCTGCCTGCTCTGCTCTCCGCTCTGACTCTGGTGAATTCTCTCACCCTCCCGCGCTTCTGACTGTACCCAGTGCTTGTATAAATAAATAAATAAATCTTTAAAAAAAAAAAAAAAGAAGACATCCATGACAAGTATCCATCAGCTTCTGCTTGCATTCCTCTAGTGATGGGGTGCTCACTACCTGACGAGCAGTCCATTTCACTGGGCAGTTATAATGGTCAATATAGTCTCACTCATGTGGTCAATATCTACCTCCCTATAACTCTTAGCCTAGTTTTATCCTCTGGGGCCCTACAAATTCAGTTTGTACTCAGTGGCTGGTGGATGGGGCCCGTGTAGATTCCTTCCTCTCTTCTTCTCTCCCTTCTCTCTTCCACTCCTCTTTACTCTCTTGTCTCCATCCCTCTATTTCTTTCTTTTTTTAAAAATTTTATTTATTTATTTATTTATTTATTTATTTATACAAGCACTGGGTACAGTCAGAAGCGCGGGAGGGTGAGAGAATTCACCAGAGCCAGAGCGGGGAGCAGAGCAGGCAGAAGGACCGAAGCACACTGCTGAGGGGAGCAGCGGGCGGCAGGAGAGGTCTGTGCGCCATGTGGGACCCTCCTCCGGTGGCCGGGGAGCAGCCGGGGATCAAACCGGCGCTGCAGAGGCTGCGGGCAGCTTCGCAACCCAGTGCTCAACCGCTGCGCCACCGGGGAGGCCCCACCTCTATTTCTTGACATACTGGACCTTCTGCTAAGAACATAAGTGTGGACCATAGGAGAAATTAGCTACAGGGTCAGAATTAGATCTTAGGCACCCTAAATTCCATTCTAGGGAGTGGAGGATTGGGGTACAGAGGTTTGTGACCTTCCCCCATGAACCGTAGTGCTGGTACCCAGGCAGTGTTGGGATGTTCTGTGACGAGGAGCCCAACTTAAGGTTGATCAGAACTCCTGTTGGGTCTTTACTGGAGCCTACCCAAGCCTCTTTTCTCCACTCACTCCTAAAAGGTCTGGGAACAAGTAGATTTAAATATAGCTTCCAGCACAATCAATTTCAAGACTTTAGTTCTCCCTGAGTCAGGACTTAGTATTGTTCTTTGCCCGTATTCATTCATTCCCATTCAATATATCCTTATTAAGAGCTCGCTGTGTGGCCTCTCTGTCAGGTGGTAAGTTTTAAAGGGAAATTTTGCCAGTGCAAACCCCCCTCTGAGACTGTTTCCCCATTTGTAAAATAAGAACATCGGTCCCTACTCTGCCTTTCCTGCAAGGACATGGTGTGGGTAAGCCAAAGTAATAAGTCAAGGAGGGTTCTTATGTTGGTGTGCCAGCTGAATGAATGCCCTCTTTCAAACTAAATACAGTGCCTGCCCGATAATCAGACTTGCAGCGACTTCTTGCTGAATGAATTAATAGGCGAATGATGGAATGAATGAACGAATGTTGGAATAAATGCATTTCCTCCCCCTCCCTGCCTTAGTCTCTCTGTTCCTGTGTTAACTCCATAGACAGATCCAGCCTTGAAGCCCGAGATAAGGCTTTTGGCGGGTGTCTCCCCTATCACTTTCTCCAGCGGGCGTGAGGGCAGAGGAGTGAGCTCTGTTGCCAGCAGAACCCCTGCAGGGAGACAGACGCAGGATGGGCTCCAAATACCCGCGGTCTGTGCGGGGCTGCCTGCCCCTGTGGGCCTTAACCCTGGAGGTGGCTCTCATTCTCGCCTTCTTCTTTTTTACCTCCTATGACACTTCTTCAAAGGATCGGCTGTTGAGGACCTATCCAGGTGAGCATCCACCAGGGAGGTGTTCACAAAGACAAATAGCAGGGGTAGGGGCAGGGGAGAGAAAATCTTTGGTCCTCCAGGGGCTAAACATTCCTTTCCATGAGTCAGGGAGCAGCTCATCTCCCACAGGTTGCACAAAGACCCAGCTAACAGTACAGGCTCTTCTTTAGGAGCAGTGTAGACAGCCCCTCTTCCATGAAGCCTTCCTTGATTTGTCAGAGTGGTATGAGGGGTCTCTTTTTCTGTGTTCCCAGAATTTCCTCTACCAAGTCGTCTTCATAATTCTCTGGTTCAAACATCACGGCAAGGAATTTGAAGGTGTTGTTCGGTTTTCCTTCCTTCTTTCTGTGTCTTTGCTTATTTCCTTATCGCCTTTTTGGGGGAAGCTTTAGTTTGTTATTCCACCCCCCCCATCCCCCGTCTTTTCACTTGGGGGCTGGAAAGTCTGCATTCTGTCTGCAAATCCAGAGCCATAAGGTACGGCTGAAGGAGAGTGTAGGATGGTTGTTATATTACAGGCAGCTAAAAATAGGCTCAGACTGTGATGGGAACAACTGTAAACAAAACAGATGTCCACATTGGGTGTGGTTTTTGCCTTTTAAAAAAATTTGAGATGAATTTTCAAGCATCTCAGTGGGCCAAGGTATTGCTTATGATAATGCACAGGCCTCTTTGAGTGTCATCCCTGAGACAAAATGGAAACTTGAGTCTGGTGAGTATTTACTTGTTCCTAAGTGATGTTAACTGACTAGTTTTTTTTGTTTTTGGGGTTTTTTTTTTTTTTTTTTTTTTTTTTTTTGCATAGAAGAACTGGGGTGTAGGCCATTGGTGTGTATGTGTGGGGTGAGAAGATTCACCAGAGACAGAGCAGGGAGCAGAAAAGGCAGATTGACTGAAATACACTGCTGAGGGGAGCAGCCAGCAAGATGAGAGAGGTCTGCTGCACCATGTGGGTTAGCTCTCTAGCCGGCATCAAAATCACGGTGATAGCACTGAGACTTAACTCCTAGGCCACCAGGGAGGCCCTAACTGACTAGTTAACTAGAAGCAAAGGAAGGCATCCAGGCATCCATGGGTCTTCAGCAATAGAAAGTAGGGAAAAGAGATGCAGCCCCATGGAACTTGTTAGAAATGCAGATTACCAGGCCATGTCAGTATCAGAAACTCTGGAAGTAAGCCCAGCACCCCATGTTCTGCCAGGCCCTCTAATGTACACAGAGTTTGAAAACTACTGGAGCTAAACTGATTCAAATCTTTTCCCTCCTCTTAACTGTGCAAACTTGGGCAGATTATTCAATCTCTCTGCCTTCATCGCAACATCCATGACATGATGACAGCCTGTATTTCATTCAGTTGTTGAAATGATGGAAAGAACTAACTCATGCTGAGAGTGATAACGTGTTAATTTTTAATATTACTCAATTTTAATTCTTATTATCTTCATAAAAATAAAACTAGAAGGGCTAATGTTTTCTTCCTGCAGTCCCTATGGATTGTTTGAAGAATCTGCTGAGGTATATTTTCCCCACTCTAATGGTCAGTGGTCTAGATGGGCCGTGATGAGACCAAATGGCAGGGAGGAAAAGCAGAGTCAAGAGATGTTTAAGAGATATAACCAACTTGGTAAAAATAAAGGAAGAGCCCAGGATGGCTTCAGATGTGTGATTTGACAACTTGGAGGTGCCGATTCCTGAGATAAGAGGCAGATTGTGGGTAAATGGCAATGATATGTGCTTTCTGAGGGTCCCCTGTTTAGGGGAAGCAGAGTGTATCAGTTACCTACTGCTGCAAAACCAACCACCTCCAAACTTAGTAGCTGAAAAGAGCAACCATTGCATTTACCCATGATCAGGATCCTGTGGGTCAGCAATTTGGATTGGGCTCAGCTGACCAGTTCTTCTGTTGGTTTCACCTACTGTCATTCATGCATCGGCAGCCTGGTGATTTGGGGCAGGGCAGTTTAGAGGCCTCATTCACAAGTTTGGCAGTTGGTACTGGCTGTCAGGGAGGCCATATGGTTCCAGCAGACTAGCCAGATGTCTTCATATAACAGCAGATGAGTTACTGCAGTAACCCCATTGGGCAAACCCCAATGTACAGATTTGTGAATATCCCATGGGCCAAAGCAGATCATGAAGCCAGCCCAGGCGGGAGGGGTCTACACTGGAAGGCATGATTCATTGAGGGCCACAGAGACAGGTCTAGGGCTCCCAAATTGGGGAACCATCCTGGACCCAGCATTGTGAATACCACTTGGTTCCCCTGTGTTCTCCTCTGAAGCAGAGAGACAGGGTGCTAAAAAATGGGCGGGGCTTTTCAGTGATATGTAAATAAATACTCCCAAGCTCTTGTACCATTCACATCTTAGCCTTGGCTTCCCCTTTGATTGGGAAATCTTTTTCTCTTTTCTGGCTGCTGCACGGGTGAGGGTAGTACTGGGCTCCACTGATGGTGCCAGCCTGGGGCTACACAGGCCTTTCAGTCAGCAGTGGGGAGCACAGTGTAGAGATCCAGCCTGGGGGACAGAAGCTGGGCCTGGGTTCAGAGCTATTGGTGCTGAAATGTCTGCAGGCTTAAGAGAAGGGCCAGGGTGGGTGGAAACATCCAACTAGAATCACAGGGGCAGCAAGGACAGAGGGGAAACAGTTCCCAAAGTGACACAGCTAATAAGCACAGGCATGGGATAATAATTGCTAACACTTACTTTGCATCCATCCTAGGCTGAGGGCTTTTTATGAGCCATAGCAAGCAACCTCAGTGTTCACAGCAATCCTCTAAGCAGGGGCCATTATTCACACCCATTTTATAGGTCAGGAAGCTGGGAAACAGAAGTAGAGCCAATTCTGAGCCTGACTCAGAAGTCCACCCTCTTCACCATACACTAAAGATGCTGAATGGGGGAGGCAGGATGGTATAGTGGTTAAACCCAAGATAATCAGGATTCAGATCCTTCCACTACCTTCCATGAGCTGTATGACCTGAGCTGGCGACAGTGCTTCTCTGTGCCACCCTTTCCCCATCTGTAAAGTGGGGGAGATAAGCAGTACCCACTGCAGGATGTTGGTGTAGGTTATGGTGTGAGGCACTTAGAGCAGTGCCTGCTCTGTGAAGGGCGCACTAAGAACCTGCTGTCGCCATGGTGGGAATCACTGCTCATCTGGAGCTACTGCACCCCATGCTAGACTTTCTCTAAGTCCTGGGGCTTTCAAAATCTTCTGAAGGGTTGCCTTAGACAGTCAAATTTCCCTCCAGGGCCCAGTTATTGGGGCCCTTGTAGCACATCCACTCGTTATCACCCCTGCACACCTTAGAGTTCATTTGCTTATCAGACCAGCAGCTGACGTAGGATGCAGAGAGGCTCTGGGAGGTGGGGGCTGATACTAATGAGATGCCCTGAGCTGGAACACAGCCCTGAAGTGGGGATCGATGTCGTGAGACATGGGGAGTGGGGGTAAGGGCTTGGAGTCTGGGAGGTGGAAGGAGGTAGCGGGTGAGAGACAAAGGAGCCGGAGAGTAAATGTTATTTATGGTGAATAGACTTTTTCAACAGCTTCCAGAAACTGTCACCCTAATGTCAACCTTGCTAGCTGAAGCACATGCCTCCATGAAGGACAGGTGGGGACTTGGGAGGAAGGCCCTGAGCTCCACACCTGGCAGCAAGGGTGGTAGCACGTCTGATTAAACCTGCCCCCCCCCCCAAGATCCTCTGACTTTCTAAACCTTTAGGACCCCACCTCTTTGCTCCCAGAGATCACCTACTCAAAATAGTTCAGAGTGATGAGGTCCTTTGTGTGTATCATGTCCAGCTCCCCTGTGTTACAGATAGGGAAACCGAGGCCCAAAGCAGACAAGGGGCTTTCTTAAGGTCCCTTAGTGAAATGAGGGCAAACAAGAGCAAGAGAGAGCCTGTACCCAGAGTTTAGAGCTTGGCCCAGCAGCCAGCATGCTGTGTGGCCTCGAGGAAGCCACAGGCTCTCTCTGGTCCACTCTGTAAAGTAAGGAAAATGGAAGGGTGTCCCTACTCAAGGAATTTCAGTAAGTCTGGGTTTGCTGGAAATGGCAGCTGTGGTTTGTTGAACAGCACTGTTTGATGAAAGATTGAATTTGAATATTTGAAGTGCTGTGTCCAATTGCCCATGAGCCTCACCGCTCCCATATATGCGTTGCACCCTTCTTACACAGTTTCCCGCACGGCTCCCAAAGAAACTTGAGTGATCCACATCAGAACCTCCTATAGAGAATGTGCCCAACATGTCCCATTCCCTAGATGCAAGCAGGAGACAGAAACACCAGGCAATGTTTCTTCACCTTCACCAGCCAGAGAAGGTAGAAGAGGTTCTCTCTGGGAATGTCCACTTCTCACCCACTCCCCAAGTACCCAGAGCCCAGGGAGGGCCTTTGACTCTCGCTACCAAGGCAAGTTACTTACCTTCTCTGTGCATCAGTTTTTCTACCTGTGAAATGGTGATAATAATAGCTCCCTCCTCCCGGGTGATTGTGAGAACTGAAGAAGCTGGTCTCTGTAAAGAGATTAAAACACACGGTATAGGGCCTCCCTGGTGCCACAGGGGGGTGAGGTGCAACCTATGAAGCTGTCCGCAGCCTCTGCAGCATGAGTTTGATTCCTGGCCAGCCAGGGAGCAACCCACATGGCACAGCAGACCTCTCCTGACTCGCCCGCTGCTCCCCTCAGCAGCGTATGTCAGTCGGTCTGCTTGTTCTGTTCCCCACTCTGTCTCTGGTGAATCCTCTTACTCTCCCACACATCTGGCCTATACCCCAGTTCTTGTGTGTGTGAATAGATAAATCTAAAAACAAACAAACAAAACACACAGGGTACAGACACTTGTCAAATAGAAGCTGTTATTATAGCTCAGAGATTTCAAATAACACAAAAAGGGCCAGAACCCAGGTTTGACCACCGGTGTGTCAGCCCAAGCTGGTAGCTGTTTTTCAAACCTGAAATTAAATCAAAGTACCCACCCTTTTCTTTTCCCTGGCCCTCTCCCTAACACGGGTAAACCCCTGGCACTCACCTGCTCAGGAGCCCTTTCCAGGATCTGCAGTTGGGGAAGTGCCACCATCCCACTGGCATACCAGGTCCCTCTCAGCAGGGCCAAAGGGAGAGTGCTGACTTCTGCAAAGACTTTGATTCTTGGAGTCTTTGACTCTAGTGTCTCTACGCCTGCTTTGTCCCCTCTTTTCTGTGTGACCTGGGCCAAGTCACTGGCTTTGGGGCTCTGTTTATTGCTGTCATTATGTTCAGGAATTTCCATTCACTGAGCACTCATGATGGGCCAGGCCCTGCCCTCCTGCGTCATCAGCGCCAGCTCTCCTTATCCTTACCTCCATCCTCAGGACGCCTGGGTTGTCTCCATTATTCAGGGTGAGAGAATGGAGACTCGAAGAGGAGAGGTAACCTGATCCATTGCTCTTGAGAGTCCCTGCCAGCTGCCATTCTGAACCCTGGTGTTCACACAACTTCCACTGAGTCTGCTTCTCTTCCCCCTTCTCCCTGTACAGCCTTCCAGGATGTTGCAGTCATGGCGGCCCTCGGCTTGGGCTTCCTCAGCTCCTCCTTGCGGAGACTCGGCTGGAGCAGCGTGGGCTTCAACCTCTTCATGCTGGGCCTTGGGGTGCAGTGGGCACTCCTGCTGGATGGCTTCCTGAGCCAGCCCTCCTTTGGGAAGGTGGCCATCAAACTGTCCAGGTAACGGGGTGGCTGCTGGATGGCTTTTGGGTCCTCTGGAGTGTGGGGACCAAGAGTGGGTATTGCAAGAGCTGGGGCATCCCCTTCTGTTTCTAACACTGAAGCCAAGCAGTACTTAGGAGGCACTTAGACTAGCGAACTATTCATTGCTCCTCTAAAATTCCAATTTTACGGGACAACCTATATTTTATCTGACGACCCCAGACCTGGATCTGCAGCATTTCCCAAGTCTTTCTTTATTATGAGCATGATTTTGTAGTTACACAATCAACACAGGGTCAATGAAAAGTGAACAGAAACGAGACCAAAAAAGTAGATATGCCATACTCAATCTCTCGAAAAGAAATATTCTCCTCAAATGCTGGTGGGTAAGAAATAGCAGTGCCTTTCCTGTCTTTAAATTAACCTCCATCCATTCAGGTGCATTTGTAGGAAACCCTAAGAACTAGCCAAATTAGCCCATGTTGCTAAAAGTTGCAATACCTTCCCGGCAAAGTGGTGGTTACTGATTGGGAGCGGGTAGAAAGGGAACTTCTGGAAACAGTCAGTGTGGTGTGTGTCATTTGGGGTTGCACAGGGTCTATATGGGTCTCCCTTGACTGATGATGGGTTTATCCGGACATAACAATAACCCCACCGTAAGTCAAAACACAGAGAATACAAGCATTGTACTCACACAACGTCATGGTTAGTCTCGCCTACCTTTAATGTGCTCAGAACACTTACATTAGCCCTCAGCTGGGCAAAGCCCTCTAACACAAAGCCTACTTTGTAAGAAGGCATTGACTAGCCTTATCATTGATCCAGCACTGCACTGGATGTGAAAAGTTGTAGGGTGTGTCTTTTTCCCCTTGTGATCTCCTGGCTGCCTGGGGGCTATGCTCGCTGCCCCTGCTCCTGCACCCCAAGGGAGGGTGGACTGCACACTGCCTGCCTGGGAGGAGATCACAATTCAAAGTTTGAAATGCAGCTTCTGCTGAGTGCAGATGGCTCTCACGCCATCAGAAAGTAAACACCTGAAAGTCGAACCACCCTGTGTCAGCAAAGGTCTGTATATGTAGGTCCACCGAGCTGCACACTTTTAAAAAAGGCATGAGCACTTGATAGGAGGTCTGGGTAAACTTATTCCTTAAATACCGTGTTTTGATTTTGTCCCAGTCTGAATTTCTATTTTACTCATATGATGGTAACCCCACTCTTAGGCATCTTGGGGGACCTGCCATCTCTCAAGGGTGGCTAAACCTCATCTCTCCCTGAGCCAGGCACCATGCCAGGCACTCCCCAAACCCTTCCAGACTGGGGTCTAACCTGATGTACAATCAAGGAAACAGAGGCTCAAAGAGCACAAGTTACTTGCCTAGGGTCGTACAGCTTCGTGGTGGGAATGGCACCCCTGTGAATGATGTGTAACCCTCCGACATGAACACAGTCTAGCTAGCTCCCCACTGACCTGGAATAAAGCTTTCCACATTTCTTCTTCCAAAAAGTTTTAGAGATAACCCCCACGGGGATTCAAAACCTCAGTAGCTACTTGGGGAGTGACAAAGGTGCTCTGGGGAAACCCGGGCAGCTGTGGCCTCGCCTGGTGTTTCTGTGGCTAAGGGCACATGAGCCATCACCTCCTGCACCTGGGGCTGCTCCCTTCTGACATGCGGCCTGCGGGGACCTGTTTGTCCTGACTCCAGCCAGAGTGACAAGAAGAGGCCATTTATAACCTGAGTGAACTTCCCTGCCCCGCCCCGCCCCTGACCACTAGGGTCCTCCCAGCTGTGATGGCCTCTGGCCCTGACTTCACAGACTTGAACAGCGGGCTCCTTCCTGACTTTCCAGCTCAGCTGGCCAGCCACCCCTCCCTCCCCGGCTTTTCCCTGCACTCTTGTGCAGCCTCACATGGCACTGATTGGTCCTGCCTTGAGTTGCCAATGACCAGCCCCTGCAGGGCAGGGGCCTGTCTTACTCAGCTGTGTCCTCCTTTGTTTCCCTCACACAGAAAGGGCATAGTAATGGTTATTGAAACAAACATTAAACTAAAAGGAAACCTAAAAGCGGGGATGTTTTTCATACAATGTGGACCATATTTGAAAGATCCAGGAAAGAGCCGCCCCCCACCCCTCCACACACACACGCACACACAACCCCTCCAGAAGGTAAGGGCAATATCCAACCTCCTCATTGTGCTAGACTCACTTCGTCCTCACAACCTCCACCTTACAGACTAGGGCACTGAGGCACAGAGTGGTTAAATAATCTGTCCAGGGTCACACAGTCAGGAAGTAGCTGAGCGAGGATTCCAACCTAGGCAGCCAGAATCCAGGACTGTCCTCCGGAACCACTGTACTTCACTGTCTCAGCACCTCCCCCAAGCCAACTGGCCCCTGAGGGCTGAGGTCCCCCCACTGGCACACATCCTCTTGAATTAGGCATTTGCCAATTAAACGAACACTCACTGGAAAGACAGAACACAGGCAGCCGTGGTGAACCACTGAGTAACCCCTGTTGTAAGAAATTGCAGGTCCCTGTAGACTCCTTCCCCATGGCCTCCTTCGCTCTCCTCTGACCTTCCCTCCGAAGTCCTTGAATCTTAAGCAAGACACTACAATGGCAGCAAACGCTGGGGAGGCTACATCCACACTCCAGAGCACAGGCGCTGGATCCAGGCCAACTGGGGTTGAACCTCATGTTTGTCCTTGACTAATCAGCTCTGTGGTCATTGCGAAAAAAGTTACCTCCTAGACCCAATGTGCTCTGTAAAATGGTATCCTAGCACCATGTACAGGGGTCACCTGGAGGATTAAAATTGTAACGAGGTAGTAAGTTTGCAAGTCTGTTATACACACTGCTCAATAAATTATAGTTACCATCATCATCAACTCCTATGGGGAGGAGCCATTCTCAAAGCAAGGTCCCCAGAGGAAGCTGGATTGGTTTAACCATCATGGTTTGTCCTGCCAAGTGCCACTTCCCCCAGGAAGCCCTCCCTGATGAGTCCAATCAGTTTTGTGCTCTCCCTTCACTTCACCCTCTTGCCTGCCGATATCACAGCTAGTCTTCATCAACAGATGCGTCTCCCCCGCTGGATCATAAGTGCTTTGAAAACAAAAATTGTTTTTTCCTTCTGAATCCCCATACTCTGCAGGCTCATTCGTCAAGGGATCAGCAATAGTGCTGATAATGTCTGCTTCTACTTCTGAGTTAGTTCTTGCTGCCAGTCATGGTGCTAGACACGCAGGCAGGAATATTCCTTCTAATCCCCACAGCACGTCCTGAGATAAATAGTATTATCACTTTTATTTACCAGATGGAGAAACAGGTTCAGTGAGATTAAATAACTGCTCAAGTGGAAAAACGGAAGCCAGGCTTGTCTTGCTTCCAAACCCAACCTCTTTCCACTACCGCGGAGAGGCGGGTGGCAGGTGAGGGACCTGCTGGCGGCCGGCAGGCGAAGCGCGCCCTCTATCGGGCATCTATGAGCGATGCTGCAGAAGAGGAGCCCAGGGCAGAATCTGGGGTGTCAGATCCCAGGGGGGTCCTGAGGGAACACTAGAATCTGTAAAGCACTCTGACATTCCCAGGAGAACCCCAGAGCATCCTCAGTGCAGATGAGTGTGTGCAGATCAAGCTCTCAGGGTGAGGATGCTAGGGAAGGCGGTGGGGGAGACCCCAGCCTCCAGAGCACAGGCGTCCCCATGGAGAGGGGTGGGCGGTGGGGTGCAAATCTTGTCTTCTTTATGTCCCACGTGTCCCCAGTTTCTGGAGCAGTGTCGGACAGAGTGTAGGTTTTCAACAAATGTTTGTTGAATGAGTGAATGAGCGAATGAGCGGTCCGCCTCAGCCTGTGTTTCTTGCCCCCAGTGTCCAGCGGGCTGCCATGGGCGCTGTGTCCGTGCTGATCTCTGCAGGCGCCGTGCTGGGGAAGGCCAACCTGGTGCAGCTGGTGCTCATGGTGCTCATGGAGGTGACGGCCTTTGGTGTGATGAGGATGATGAGCAGGCAGATCCTCAAAGTGAGTCCCCGAAGTGCTGTAAGAATGGACCCCAGTGAACAGGGTGAGGGCGTGAGGAGGGGAGGGCGCCGCCTCCATTGGCTGAGACTTGGGGCATTTTAAACAGTGAAGACAGTCCCCAATGGGGCTATGCGAAATGTTTACATGAATGCCATTAACTTCCACCGGATGGTACTGTCAGATCGGGCTGTTCACACGATAATTATGGACTGTATAAAAAGACAATCCATTCCCAAAACCCTGCCAGCACGGCCCGGCAAGTTGCAGGGTCAGGCCAGTGTCTCCTTTCAAAGCAGGTACTGGGTGTCAGTAACTGTCCCTCAAGTGATGTAAAAGTCAGGCGGAGGCCAGCTGTGAGGGTGAGGCCAGCTCCGCTGCAGAGGACCCTGGCCCCAAGGGCTCCTCTGGGCAACCTCCCCACCCCACAGATGAGAAAGCCGATGCCTGGAATGGGAAAGTAATGGCCCCAGATCACACAGCAAGCAGCAAGGTAGTAGCAGAGCCCAGGTGAGGACCCAGAAGCCAGTCTGCCTTAGGAGAAAGAGCCCTGGACTGGGAGTCAAAGACTGGGGCTTGCTCCCCATCTGCTGTGAAGCCCCATGTGACTCTGAGATCAACAGCTTCTGGTTCTTCAGCTGTGAGGGTAGCATGACCCTCCCATCCCCCCCCCCCACCCTGACACACACACACAGGGTTTGGGAAATAACTGAATGAATTAAATAAGATGATGTATACTTGCTGCTTTTTCTTTTACACTGTGAGGCCTCTTTTGCAATATCTCAATATCTCAGAGTGAAGACTTTGGGTTGGGGGCAGAAATACAGGGAGCATTGTGGGTTTTGAACAGAGGAGAGAAATGATGTGCATTATGTTTTAAGAGAACTGCTCTGGCATCTCTCTTCAGGCAGTGAGGGGGTCATCTCTTCTGTCAAGATGGGGGTCAGTGAGGCCTGGTGGAAAAAATACCAATGGGACACAGTCGATAAGATTTACCAGTAGCCCCCGAAGTGAATTAGTAAGAATTACTAACTTTGATATCCACAAAGCAACATGATATATATCAAGATTTTACTTAGGACCCTAGTTTGGTATTATAAGGAGTCTCACTCCTTCTGGCTGCAAGGTTTGTATCATTATCACTCCATGCAAAGGGTCAAAGTTCTACCAAAAAGCAGGAAGCAGTGGGGTATGTGTCCATATGTCTTTTTGCTCCCACCCCAGTGTGTCTTGGCCAGAAGCATTTGAGAGCTGCTGATCAGGCTAACCAGCAAGTCCCTGGCACAAACATACAGCTCTTCACAGGTCCTCTGAGAGGGAGCTGCTGGGCTGGATGAACTCCAAACATCATCTAATGCCTTCAAGTCACACCTCCTACACAAAGCTCAGAACTTTCCCCCTGCACAGCGGAGTGCGGGGGGATGTTCCCCACAAATAGAGGAGGCTGACACTGCTGCCGCTGGGTGTCGTTGCAGGTGGAGGACCATATAAGCATGATGCACATGCATGTGTTTGCGGCCTATTTCGGGCTGTCTGTGGCCTGGTGCCTGTCGAGGCCTCTTCCCGAGGGAGCAGAGGAGAAAGCTCAGACAGCAACGAGCCCCAGTTTGTTTGCCATGCTGGGTAAGGACGGGGTGGGTGGGTGGCCTGAGACTGGGGTGAGTAAGAGGCTCCAAAATGGCTGTGGCAAGTTCTTCTCCTTTAGCAACTGTCTGTGGGTGTCTCCTTGATCAACCGTCCCTCCAACATGACTCATTTTCTCCAGTGGTGTTTGTCGAATTCATGCTTGAGTGAAGCCTTTTCTCCCGGGGAACCTCTCTATTAGTACCAAAGAAGGAAGAGACTCATCACGGTTGAATTTAAATAGGATTAGCTAATCCTCTGGTCCCAACTTAAAGGAGGGAGGTGGACAAGTGCAGAAAGGAGGGCCTGGGAGCAAAAAGGAACTCAGATTGTGGGACAAGCCTAGAGGAACTCGGCAGGGCAGGAACAGAGGGTGAATGAATGGCAGGCTCCGAGGCCAAAGGAACTCAGCCCATTGATACAGGTGGCCCTTGAACAACACCGTTTGAGCTGCCTGGGTCCACTTCCGGGCTGACCAGTTTTCTCTCTGTGGGATCTACAGTCACAGATTCAATCCACCCTGAAAGTGTGGTCAGTTGAATCTGCAGATGCTGAACCCATGGCTACCAACTGACTATACAACATACGTGGATTTTTAATTGGAGGATGGGGCGCCCGAACCCCGTGTTGTTCAAAGGGTTCAGCATCAACTCTCTGGGACTTCGTTTCCTTGCCTATGAAGTATACCAGCTACTACCCCAACTTGAGAATTCAGAGGCGGCATACCTTACCTCTAGCTCTAGAAAGAGCTAGAAAGGGACAAAGCTGACATTTAGCAGCTCTGGGAGTCTCCTGTCTAAAGCCCCCAGAGGCTCAGGCTTTGGAGCAGGAGGTTGATTGACCCTCTCTCACTCCCCCAGGCACCCTCTTCCTGTGGATGTTCTGGCCAAGCTTCAACTCCGCTCTGCTGGATTTACCCAATGAAAAGAAGAACGCGGTGTTCAACACCTACTATGCTCTTGCGGTCAGCGCAGTGACAGCCATCTCCACGTCGATCTTGGCTCACCCCCAAGGGAAGATCAACATGGTGAGGAGGGGGGCTACCCCTTGGGCAGCACTTGGGTCTTCTAGGTTGGACACACATATTCATGCCCCCTCCCCCAGCACCAACACCAGCCCCACAGGTGGGGAAGAGCCTGCCGGTAGTAGGGTGGTGGAGGCCTATGTGCAGGGTCATGGAGCATCCGGAAGAACACTGCCCGGATGGCACTGGGACACAGGAGTCTGGAGGGAGTGATTTAGGCCACCAGTGTCGACAGTAAACAGACCTCGGTTGGAACCCTGTTTCTGCTAGTTACTAAAGCCCCATGAGCAAGAGACATCAGAGAAGGTCTAGCATGGAGACGTCAGTCCTGCCTCCTCCCCCAGGAAGTCTCAGGATGAAATGAAATGATCTGAGTCAGGAGTACAGCAGTAAAGAAGCCAAGTGACCTTGGTCAAGCCACTTAAACTTTTGGCTTCAACTACGTCATTTGTAGTGTGGGAATTAAGAGAGTGTAGGCAAAGTCTTAGAAGATTCCTAGTTGACTTCACATGCATTAAATGCTGGGCAATCATTAGCTACTATTATTAGTGTAGCTGGGGGTGGGAGGTTGTGTGTGTGAGTTTCCAGTGGAGAAATGGGGAGAGACATCTAAGGAGAAAAGTTTTCCATGATTAGGGCATAGGGCAGCCGGCCAGTGGTGGTGGGAAGTTTTGACAGATGGGGGACCTGGAGTGGAGAGTGTGACAGGTTAGCAGCGTAGTTTACAGCACTAAGGGGAGGTGCGTGCCCCACCAGTGATGGGAGTCTAGGATGAGACAAGGTGCCGACATCCAGGGAGGCAGATCAGGGCAGCCCAGACTGCACCCAAGGCTCAGAGCTCCAAGACCTGCCTAGCGGTGGGGGTGGGGGCGGGGGGAAGCAGGCAAGGCCCAGGCTTAGAGGAAGGAAGGACACAGCAGAGATGAGACCCAGGAACAAGGGCCAGCTTATTGGGTCCATTCATGCAGGAGGCATAGGCACCAAGTAGCTAATAATAAGAATAAATAACAATACAAACAACAATACTGCCTTGCAATTATTGGGCATTTATTCATGTCCTATACCAAGCACTAGGCATAGAGTTTTACGTGTGCTAATTCATTTCATTCTTACAGTAACTGTATTAAGTAGCATAATCAAACATACCTCATTCTTCTAGTGGAAAAGTTGAAGCACCGAGCAGCAGTCAAGTACCCTAAGACACATCACTAATTAGTATGGCTGGGTGGCTGGGTGCCTCAGTGCGGGGCAGCACTAAACGCCTCCCAATCAGGGTGTCTGCCCCCTGAGCCTCAGAAGGGGGGTGAGATGAGATCACTGATGAAGGCCGTGTAGTCTCAGCAGCAGGGAGGGGGTGGTTTCCGGGTCAGGGAAGCAGGGAAGACGCCACGGTGCTGCCAGCCTGCTGGGTACCTTGGGCAGGATGCTGTGCTCTCTGTTGCTCTCTTCATGTGCCAAAGCTACTTCTTTGTAGATTCACATCCACAACGCGGTGCTGGCAGGAGGTGTGGCCGTGGGCCCCTCATGCCACCTGATCCCGACTCCCTGGATGGCCATGGTGCTGGGCCTCTTGGCTGGACTGATCTCCATTGGGGGAGCCAAGTGCTTGCTGGTAAGGAGCTGGGCAACAACAGCCTCTGCTTTGGTTTAAACCAACGGGACCCCGAGACCACGGTAGACTCTCCTGGGGTACCACGGGCAGGGGCCAGCACTCTCTCAAAGCCTGGGCGAGGGTCCTATCCAGGTTGCATAGTGCGCTACTTAGCATCAGGGTGCAAGTAACAGAATCCATCCAAGCTTGCTCAGGCATAAGGGGAGTTTGCTTCAGGTGTCAAGAACCCAGGGATGGGGATGCTGCTGGAAGCCCTGGAGGGGCTGGCCCCGACGGTGGGGGTGTTGTGGGAGCCCAAGAAGCCCTGGTTAGTCTTTCTTTTTTGCTTTTCCTGAGTTTCTGCTTTGTTCCCACTCTGTATTTTCTTCATCTTATCCCACACAATGGCATGTAGCGTCTCTCTTTAAGATACGACCCAGGTGGACTCTCTTGGCTCCAATGCCAAATTCTCTGGAGAAGGGGCTTAATGGTTGAGTTTGGATAATGTGTCTATTTTAGGTGGGAGGGGGGCACATGCCATTCATGGCTGCTGCCCTTGAACCATGTGAATGGCAGTGGGAGGCAGCACTGAGAAGAGGGGGTACAGGGTGATGATCCAGGCCCTGTCCACTTCTGACTGTTAAGCTCCTCTAACTGGGTGGGATTTTCTTCCTTCAACATTCAACAGCACTGACTCTCCCAGAATCCTCTGTTGCGGCTAATCCGTTATAACACTTGTCCAAGAGAAATATTTAGGAACAAAAAATCTTTTGTCGGTTCGAAGCCTCGATGGGGCACAAAGGTGTAGACTTAGAACAGTTCCAAAGCTGAATTTGAATAACCAGTGGGTTCTGAGGGAGGCAGTTTCAGCCCAAAGGAAGGAAGAACCTCACTAAGGGTTTGGTTTGACCAGAGATGGGGCAAATTGCTTTTCATCTTTGTAATGAGAACAAGTGTCCTTTGCCTCCTTTGACTTTGAGGCCCTATGATGAAAGGAGGGAGGACACAGTGAAAAAGAGCCCCCCAGGTTATTAGGCTCAGGCCACCACGCCTCTGGCCTGTTTCCCTGACTCAGTGGGGGAACAATTCCAAGATCACTCCCTCAGTCATCACACACTGGCTCATTCACTTATTAATTCATGCAGCGCGTATGTCCTTGCACTTCTCCTGCTCCCTGAGCTACAGCGCAGTGAGGAAGTGGGCAAATAAACACCACACAGCTTATAAGGGCGAGGTTAGGCAGGGGATGTCTCAGCCGAGAGTTGACAGATAACTAATATTAGCCAGGCAAGGACGTGGACAATGGACCTCCGCAGAGGGAGCAGTGTGCTCAGAGGCTCCGCAGTGAGAACTCATGCCCAATCAGAAAACAGAAGGACATTCTCTGGCTGAAGCACCAGGCCCCGGTGGGGCTGGATCCTCCATGGGAGATGTCCGTGTAATTCCTGGGGTAGTCAGGATTTGAGTCTTCATGGGAGAATGTCTGTGTACTTCCTGGGATAGTCAGGAGTCAGGTCTTCATTCTGAAGACAGTGGGGATTCTAAGGAGAAAAGGAGCCTGACTCACTTGCATTTGTATCCACATCTGTTGACTCAAGGCCCTCTGGGAGGCTAGGTGGGGAGCAAAGGAACACTGAATGGGAGCATGGAGGAGCTGTCTGACTATTCTTCTAGAATGCTCCCCGAGTTCAGTTGGGGCTGAACCCACAGGTCTTAATCACCCCCTGGGGACATTTGCCAACACCTGGAGACATTTTTGGTCAACACATTGTGGGGGGAAGGGGGGGCTACTAGCACCTATAGGGTACAAGCCAGAGATGCTGCTAAACATCCTACAATGCACAGGACACCCCATGACCACCACAACAGAATCACCAGCCCCAAATCTGAGCAGTGCCTGAGCTAGACCTTTGCTACTCAAAGTGTGGTGCGTGGGGCAGCAGCCATGGCATCACCTGGGGCTTTGTTCAAAACATAGTCTCAGCCCCACAAGCATAAAGTTTGATTCTGCATTTTATAAGCTCCTCGGGTGATTTGAGGGCACATTCAAGTCTGGGAAGAACTTCGGGTCCATCCCCTTTTGGAGGCCTGGATGCCATGGCCTGTAAAGAGGTGAGTAGGGTCTTACCTGCTTATAATGGTGTCTGCCTGCAGGTGTGTTTTAACCCCTTGCTGGGGATCCACGACACCTGTGGCGTGCACTACACCTTCGGCTTGCCCGGTCTGCTGGGAGGGGCCGCCTACATTGTGCTGATGCTGCTGCAGGCCTACTGGACCAGGAATCCCATGTGAGTTACTTGGCTACCCACTCAAGGCTCCTTCCCAACTCAGGAAGTAATGTGCCCAGAACCCTTAGCTGCCTCCAGGGCCACTCAGCAGGCCTCAATGGACATTTGTTAACCCATTCATCCGAAATTCTGCCCAGTTCCTACCTTGCAAGGGATCATCACCTCTCCAGGCTACTTCTTTTCCAAAGGGGAAGCATAGATGCAAGATGAAGGCAAATATTCCTGAGGTCCTCCAGATGAGACAGAGCAGGTCAGTCAGATCCAAGCCAGTTGGTTTTCCAACCCCTGGGAATTTGCTCATGGACAGAGTGTGCCGTGGAGTCAGTCTGGCCTTGACTTCTTACAGCTGGGCATACTCCTAACCCCGCTGAGCCTTGGCCACCCAAACCTAAGTGAAGATAATGACGGTACCTTCCCTCAAAGAGTTGTTGGAGGCTGCTTGAGGCCAGGCACCTGTGGGGTGAAGCGGGTTTAATAAATCAATGTAGCAAAATGCTAAGTACGACCCATCCCTGAGCCAAAGGGAGAGTATTGCTATAAGTTGTTTATTTTCATTAGGGTCTGATGTTGAATTGTACTTGAGTCTTGATCTTTAAAGGAGACTGACAACATGGAGAGATCAATGCCATTGGAAGGGACGTGTGTATACCTCACTGCTCCCCTGGAGATGAGAGGCCCTACAAGCCATAGGGAACCTTATCACAACACCGCAGGGGCCAGGCTGCTGGAAGAACGGGGAACTGAGACTATAATGGTGGGGGAGTAACCAAGTGGGGGCCCCTTATTGGGCAGGAAGAGAAAACTCATATGCTAGATTTTTGTGGTTGGGGGGTTTGTAATATGAGTTTTGCACTTCCATGAAAGCCAACTTGCAAGAAAGAGAAACAAGCAACTCTGGCCATTAATTTGGCCCTGTGATAAATCAATTTGTCTACTGAGTAGACAAATATGGAATCCAAGAAATACAGTTAGTGCAAGTGTTCCATTGTGTGAATACAGCACAATTTCCTTAGCCATTATTGATGAGCATTTTGGGTAGTTTACACTTTGGGGCCAGTGTTGCTGCAATTAATAGTCTAGCACTTTTTTTTCACAGAACATATGAGTACACTCCTTTTGAGTGTTGCCCAGAACTGAAGTTATTGGGTCATAACATATTCATATGATCACTTTAGTGGATAATACCAGGTTTCCACTGTAGTTTGTGCCAACCTAAACACCAGCAGTACCCAAGCAGCCCCCTTACCCCATGTGTTATAGCATTCATTGCTCCTCTTTCTAATTTTTGCCATTTAGCCATCAAGATTATTATTTTAATTTCCCAGATGATAGTAATATTCTGATTTTTTTTGACATTTGAATATTTTCTCTTGTGAAGTGTCTATTCAAGTTCTTTGCCCATTTTTCTATTGTGTTCTGCCTTCTTCCTGATACGTGGGAATTCTTTATCCATTCTGGATACAGGTCCTATTTCATATCTATGTATTAAGATCTTTCTGCACTTTGTGGGTTACCTTTTCATAAACAGACATTCTTAATTTTAACAGACTTTAGTTTGTTGTTGTTTCCTTTAGTTTTAGTTCTTATGTATCTTGTTTATGAAATCTTTGCCCACTCAAGATATCCTCCCAGAGTCCCTTAATAAAGTGAAGCCCTGGAGTTGAAGCCTTGAAGGAAAGAGGCCAGGGAAGTGTGTCCACGGGGTGCTGGACAGGGGAGATGGATCTGATAGTCAAGCTGTACCCCACCTTGCCCTGATAGAAATAAAGCCTTCATCTTTAATTGCCTAGTGAGGAGACTTAGGACACAGAGGTTCAGTGACTTGCCCAGAGTGACACAGCTGGTGACAGAACTAGGACTTGAACTTGGGTTTTCTGTCTCGTTCATTACCCACAGGGTCTGAGGATTAAAGTCAGCCAAAGAGAATTTTGGGATTTCCCCTTCCTACACAGCTGCGTGGCTTTGCAGGGAAAATGACATGGGAATGTACTGCCTCAGGAGAGCACATTGGTTCTGATGGTCCTTCCTGACAGTGTCACTAGTGAAGTAAACATCTCTTTTTGTCCCTGATGATCTCTGCACTTGATGCCTGAATGTGACCGCCTCTGCTTTGTCATTTCCAGGATCAGCTACCAGGTGCTCATCGACACTGGGGCACTCAGCTTAGCCATGGCTATGGGTTTGGTGTCTGGTCTCCTAACAGGTCAGTGTTAGATCACTCTTCTACTGCTGCCCAGGACACAGGGCTGGGGTCTAGAGTGCCCTTCCCCTATGACTGGACATGTGCATGCCCACCCTCCCCTGGGAACTGACCCCCTCAACCCAAAACACATGAGCAAAGAGTTCAGACCTTGATTAAAACACACACACAGAATCTTATCATTTTAGAATTGGAAAGGCCCTGTGGGGTCACCTGCTAGAGGTGTTTGCCTCTTTATATGTTGCTTTTGACATTAGGGAACTGGTGATTTAAAAGAACTTGGAGAATGGGAGGGAAAGAGGCCTCCAAACAGCCAAAAGAGCCACAATGTGACCCTCTAGTGCCAAGCATTTCACTTTTTAAGAGACCCTCTTCTTCAGAGCCCATGTGTATTTAACTTAAGATACAATCCTATTAATACAGACGAGAAAAATACCTCCGTAGCTTAGAGGTAGGATAGGTTTCTAGAGGTAAGACTTACTGGTAGAAGCTAGAACTGAAAGCAGACAGCCTAACAGAAAAAAGAAATTCTTAAAACCAACCCAGGAACACAAAAAGCTTGGGCCAACAGCTCTATGCCTTCTCTGATTTTTTGATTTTGTCTCACAAGACAAGAAAATAAATGTTAGATGATTTTCTCAGTGATGAGTAAGCCTCAGCTACCTGGAAAGCCCATGTAGGTGACAGAGATGATTGCTGAGTGATTCTAACTAAATGAGATGGGCTGCTTGTGCCTTACATGCTGGTATCAGTGAAAGCTGTGCACTGCAGAAGGAAAATGTGGATAAGTGCACGGTTATTACTCGTTAATATCACTAATACATTGTGTCTGATCATCATTAAAAGCACACACATCTGTCTCTCAGTGGCATTTCCCTGCCTCCCGGGAAAGGTGAGCACTCACGTAATATGACCTGGGGAATTCGGCAGCTGGGGAAATGCACAAAGCCGAACTGTCTGGTCAGAGGCTGGATGGGTAAAAAGAACAGGCAAAAAAGAGATCAAAAGAAACCAAAAAAAGGTACAACAATCACAATAAAAGAACAGGCACAAAAGCTAACCAACACTGTAGCAACAGCTTTCCTCAACACTCAGGTGGAATCTTGAGCTGAGGCCAGGGGGCGTTTGCAGGCGCCTGTGAGCTCAGAGCCCCCGGCCCTCCTGGAGTCGCTCTCTATGGTAGCTCTTGTTTTAAATGGGTCAGCACGTGAGTGGAGGAGCAGGCTGCTGCCAAGCCCCTTCTGGTTCTACCAGGGAGCACATCAGATCCACGACACTCACCTGCCTCTCAGCACAAGCCAAATCCTTTGGAGAGAATTGCTTTTGCCAGTTCCTTTAAGATGTCTACAGAGTTCATTAAACTGCCCCGGGAATGACAGTGATTCCACTTTTCTCTAGGTTGTGGAAGAAACAGGGATTTCTGTTGAGATTCTATAAAGGACCTGTGATATTCTGATTAATTCTGAGAAAACAAATGCTGTTCCCCAAATGTTTAACATTTAATTCTGACTTTAAACAGGTTTGCTCTTAAATCTCAAAATATGGAGAGCACCTCATGTGGCTAAATACTTTGATGACCAAGCTTACTGGGAGGTAAGATTTTCATGCCATGGATTTTGATTGAAAGAATTAAGAAAGATATTTGGGAATATGTGTTAGCTTGCTGCTTATGACAGTGAAATAAAAGCAAAGGAAAATGGGGTCTCCCCTGGTGGTGCAGCGGTTGAGCGCTGGGCTGCGAGGCTGCCTGCAGCCTCTGCAGCGCCGATTCGTTCCCTGGCCGCCAGCGAGGGTCCCACAAAAAAAAAAAAAAAAAAAAAAAAAAAAAAAAAAGCAAAGGAAAATGAAGAGCATTGGGAGGAGCAAAATCCCTGATGCGTGTATGTGTGTGTGTGTGTGTGTGTGTGTGTGTTTGTTGGTACAGGGTGGGAAGTGGTACAGGTTACCATTTTCCAGATGCCTTGAAGTCATGGAGGGCTAGAGATGACAGACCAGGCTACATGCGTCCCCATCTGGAGTCATCTAAGTGGGAAAATAGTTTGACATAAAGGTGATAGGATCCTGTAGTGCAAGGTGGGCAGCACCCGCAGCGACCGACCAGCAGATATAGCCCCCTTCACTGGATAGATACTCGGAGTGAATTGATTGCTGTCCAGTCCTCACAGGGAGAGGCTGAGCTTCATGGAGAGCACAGCTCTTGATGAATTAGACCAAGAGGACACTGGATGTCTTGCAGTGTAGCAGTCTGGGCTCACTTAGCCCAGGGCCTCAGGCTCAAACCACCCGGCTGCTCTGAGGGTCGCTGTTACATTCAGGGTTTGTTGACTGGGTTAGAAAGGTTGGGGCTCATTCGCTGTCAACCCGTTGCTGCCCTCCCTTGGTTCACCAAGCGCCCTAATATGATGGGCCAGTCAACACAAGGGTTGGCTGCCAAGCACTGCCAAGTTATAAATGGGAAGTTGGGGTCAGCAGAGGTCAGGCTAATGCTGAACATCGTCCCTTTGTGAGTGACAGAGACTAGAGGAGTTGGAGTCCCAGGCAAATCCTGTCTCCACCCAACACGCCAAGATACTGATCACCAAAGGGGACAGAGAACCAGGCTAATCATGCACTGTAGGGACAAAGCAGAAACAATCGGCCTCTCCTCCTTTTATTTTCTATCTCCTTTCCTTTCCTCTTCTTTATATTACTTTAGGGAGGTAGGGTTGACACTGAACCACAGATATTTGCAGTGCTCCGTTTCATGCATTTCAACATATTTAGACACCCAGGAAACTATCACCACAATAAGATAAAGAGCATACACTCAGCACCAAACATTTCCTCCTGCCTCTCTGAAACTGCTCCCTCCCTCCCCTCCCCCCACCCCTCCCATCCCCAGGCAACCACTGAACTATTCTACCATTATAAATTAGTTTGGATTGTCTAAAACTTTATATAAATGGAATCATATGACACTTCCTCTTCTCCTCAGTGTAATTATTCCAAGAGTCATCTGTGCTGTTGAGTATAAACTGCCTCATTCTGCAGCTTCTCTCTGCAACATTGGCTCCTGGCTTCTCCCAGCCCCCTGAAAGCCATCTTGCGCCTTTGTAGAAGCAGGGTAACCTAGTGAAAGGACTCAGGAAACTGACTGAATCCCACCATCATTCCACAAATATTTATTGGGCTGCTATTATATACCGACCCTCTGCTAATTAACAATGGATACCACAAACACAACAAACATCCAGCTCAATGATTTGAGTTGCAATCAAGGTAATCCAAGAAACCCTACCTAACACTGGCAGCTGCTGGCATGGAACAGGTATACACCTGGAATGAGAAGACCTGGATGCCAGTCCCCATTCTGCAAGGTAGCAGTAGGCAAGTTCCTTGATCTCTTACTGGTAAAATAAGAATAGGAATCTTTGTTCTACCTCATTGCGTTGTTTTAAAATATCAGATGAGGTCATAAGGTCTAACTACATTCTGTAAAAAGTAAAATCACCATGTGAATGTTAAAGTTTATGATCTGGGGTTTAGCCAACCACGAAAGATTGTATAAGCATCATAGTAGTTATTTATTGCAAGTCTGCTGTTGGTGATTTTGTTCTAGATGCTTGTCAACATGATGTGATTTATCCTGGCCAAACTATGCTATGAGTAAGCATTCCAATTTTAGAGATGAGGAGCAACTTGGCTAAGACAACAGAGGTAGTAAATGGGATAGGAGGAAGCTGAGTTGGTGTCTGTGTGGCTCTAAGGCACAGCGTGTCCATGTATACTGTGGACAGCTACTGGAGAACAGTTATTGCTCTAACTTCTGGTGTATTTTTTTCACAGCTTAGCAGAACCATTTATTCAGCTCTATAACACAGCTTGCATTTGAAAAACCAAATATCCATTCAATAGGCAAGAATTCAGACTTGCAAAACTGAAAGATCCAGGGTGATTTTTTGGGTAAACCATCTAAAAGGACATTTTAAGTATTATTGAATGCCCTATTGCCTCTCATAAAACCAGACTGCTGGAGGTTGGAAGGGACATCCCTTCATTGGTTGCCCAGATTGTGCCTGTAACATGCTGAGATGGGCTCTCCCCACTGCCCATGGGCACCCTCCTCATCCTTGGATGGGTCTATGAAGATGCAATCCTGAATTCACTAATTCATTCTACAGTATTATCTAAAATGTGACAGATACTGTTGTGAAGAGCTGGAGACAAATTTAAGTAAAATATACATTGAGGTCTCAAATTAGTTGAAGGATGTTTGCTCTGTCTAGAAAGAACACACACAACCATTCAATAAAATGTTCACATTTAATTTTTGAGAAGAGATCTGTTTGTTAAGCACTTTCACTTATATAATCTTTAAAAATTGGGAGTTCAAAGAAAAATACCGGATGGTCTCACTCATAGCAGGAATCTAGAAAACTTAAATAAGGGACCAGGAAAATGAATAACTATAAGAAAGTGAAAATCAAAATCAGCAAAAAACTATGAACCAGAGACACTTTTAGGGGGGCGGGGGCGGGAGGGGAGGGATTGGGGTCAGAATGGGGGGGCTGCAATTGTATGGGGAATATAACAATAAAAATTTATTATCTAATAAAAAAAAAAACCCAAAAAAAATAAAAAAATAAAAATTGGGAGTTCAATCATAGATTTCAGTATTTTTAATCCCTAGATTTAGGGCAGGGGATGGGGAGAGGAAGAGGAGAGTAGGTAGAGTGTGTGTGTGTTTGTGTTTGTGCACATTTGTGTGAATTTAAGTGTCCTACTTTAACGAAGAAAAATGTCATTATCTTGTATTTATACATTTGTTATACATTTTGTATATAACAAATACTTTTCTCTAAAACTGGAGTCTACATAGGCTCTATCATAACATTCTCTGAGAATCCCTTTAAACACCAAACTAGATTTTCCAAATAAAAAGTTCCACGATTTAGATTAAAAAAAATATATATATATATATATATATATATATATACATTGAGGTCTCAAGGGGCTACCTATATTAACCCTCGATCCACCTACAGATTACAATGATCTTAACCCAGATCCTAAATTACAAAAATTCAGTTTATAACACCACTTTTCATGTGTCTTGTGCCCTAAGAGAATAAATTCTTTGGTTCAACTTCCTGCTTCAACTTAATAAACCATGGATTTTATTTCATGCTTTCCAAAACACAAGAACCCATTGACATCCACTTGTTAGAATTAATTCCACAGTTAGCCTTTCTGAAGAAAGGGTTTTTTTGGTGAATCTCCTCTGGATATCCACTATTCTAAGTGTCATGGGGGGCACAGAGAAACTGGGGCTCTAATCATTTAGGACTGGATCTTTATCTGTGCCCAGCTCCACCTATTGCATACTAAGTAAGTAATCCTGGTAGGAGCTGCTAGAAGAGTATGGAGGATGGGGAGGTAGGGAAAATGCAAGCTGGAGGTGTATTGGATTTGACTGAGTGATTGGACATGACAGGCATTTCAAGCAAAATGGTGGGGGGGGGTTGTGTGTGAGCAAGATCAGGGGAAGCTGGAGGAACCTGGTTCATCATAGAGCTGATGAAGAAAAGGCTGGAAGGTGAACAAAGTCACTTTGGTCAACTGGAAGCTCCCCAAGATTTCAGTGGGAAAGTGGGGCTTTAGAATGAATGTTTTCGAGGTGATGAGTACAATGAGCTTAAGCAAGTGGGGAGGACTCTGAAATGACTGCAATATGCTCAACAGCTTCCAGTATTTGTATGTTTGAACAAGTATTTGCAGTGTTTTTTTTAAATTGTATTGCCAAGAAACATAATCATCACCAATGTTTTTGGCACAAAAACACACCAAAATGTGTTGAGTTCCTCCTGCTGTTTTGTGCAAAATTCTTAACACCTGGCCTTGCGACATGGTGTCATCCCTGCTTCTCATTTAAAATAGAGGTTTTAGACACACATCCAGGGGGTAACAAATATCTATTCAACCACAATGGGGAAACTAGCTTTTAAAGTAAGAAGATAGCTCAGGAGCTTCCCCCTCCCCTCTCAGAGAGGCCCACTGGGAAAACAAAACAAAACAAAAAACATTGTTCTGGGTGGCAAATCTGAATTCCGGAACTAGCTCACCCTCTGGCAGGCTGGTGACCCAAGCAAGATACTTTAAAATGAGATAAATGAGATCAAATTCCATAGTCTGGAGACTGACAGATCTGAGTTCTACCACCTGTAGCTGTGATCTCTCAGAGCTTCAGTCTCACCAGCTCGACTGTGGAGATACCAGTCATCTCACACTAAGTTGCTGTGAGAATTTAAAGGAGGGCCTCCCCGGTGGCGCAGCGGTTGAGCGCTGGGTTGCGAAGCTGCCGGCAACCTCTGCGGCGCCGGTTCGATCCCCAGCTGCTCCCCGGCCACCAGAGGAGGGTCCCACATGGCGCGCAGACCTCTCCTGCCGCCCGCTGCTCCCCTCAGCAGTGTACTTCGGTCCTTCTGCCTGCTCTGCTCCCCGCTCTGACTCTGGTGAATTCTCTCACCCTCCCGCGCTTCTGACTGTACCCAGTGCATGTATAAACAAAACAAACAAATAAATAAATAAAAACATGCCTCTATAAATAAAAAAAAAAAAAATTTAAAGGAGAAAATGTGTGAAATGTTAGCACACTGACACCCCCAAATGCTAGCTAATCTGAGTTCCAGTTCTAGAATCTGTGACCCACAGCCATTTGACATGCAGTGGTGCTGTATGGCAGGGCTTAATGTCAAGGCCAAAGGACTCAGGATACATAAACTTGCAGAAGACCCAAAGGACACTTAAAAGATCAATCTTCACAAACCTGACGGTCGTTTGGAAGAAGAAAATTTTTTTCTATACTTCTCCAAAGATTTTAACTAGGCCCAGTGGCAATGCAGTATAAATTGCTACCAATTTGAACTGTCTGCAAAATAGAATGAGATTCATATAGTGAGTCCCCAGTCAATAGAGACATTCAACAAAAGCCAGATGACTGTATCAATGATCCATACAAAGAGCTATTGGAAATGAGATGCAAGAGTTCTTCCAATTCATATTTTATGAAAGAAACTCTCAGGCCTTTTTGATGAGATAGTATTTTGGTCAACATAAGTTTTGAAAGATCAAGCCAGAATCAATATGTGTACATAATGTAAAAGTATAATTCATCTGTAATAAAAATATCTGTTTTGTTTTTACAGTTTCCTCACTTGGCTGTTGGATTTTAGGCAAAATCACCGAAGAAAAACAAGCTCTGTTTGAAAACAAGATGATTCCTTTTACCATTCCCACCTTTTTGTGTATGTGACAAATACTTGTTACAACCAATTTTTGTTATGTACAATGATACAAGATCAGAGATGCATTTGATATTGAAAATAAAAAGCAAAAAATTTGCTTCAACAATTTCATTATTGTTTTAAGTAAGTATATTTGGTTTCTTTGAAGATTATGCTATCAATATCTTCTTGGATGCAAATGATTAAGGTTTTGGTTCAATTTTGACAATTCTTAGGTTCTTGCTTATGCTTGTTAGTAAAATATGCTACCCAGTTAACTCTTGTCAACATCAGTAAAGTATGTGGTAAAAAAATAGGGAAAAATTAAGAACTCAATTATATTCAGTTATTGCAGGCATTATGCTTTTATTCCAGCCATTTTACAAAGTACTTCTTGTACCTTTAGCACATTCTGAATTTTTCCGTGGGGAAAGAGCACGGTCAGTGGGGAGATGCTCTCATCAAGATTAAAATGCTAGTTTCGTGATCTCGAGGAAATCATTTCAAATGGTCTGGGTACCCTCATCTCCAGAAAGAGAAGGTGGACTTCAGCTTCTAAGGTCCCCTCTGACTCTCATATCTTATAGATCTAAAATTTCACCATGAATGATTTGCTGTGAGATGCCAATAGTCACCTCTTGAGTAGTGTCTTGCTGGCCAGGAAATGCCAAAACATACGTGCTGGGAGGTAACAGTGGCTGACATGAGGATAAGTACCACAAATTGAGATCCTCTAAGAGATACGTCATGTTGCACAAAGGGCTAATTGTGACAAGTTTTATAAAAGAAAACATTTCAAGCCATTGTTCTGAAGATCATGCATCCCAGAGTTACCCAGTTCATACAAAAAAAAAAAAAAAAATCCCATTTTGCCAGGTGGGGGTGTCTGATAGATAACAGTTTCAAAGAGGAAAAGACTGAGAAGTTCCGATGATTAATGTTTTTAGTGACAATTAATTGACCTTGCTGGTCTATTTTGAGCTTAGTGGTTTAGTACAGAGAAAACGAAACAGGATATTAATTTTTTTACCAAACCAACAACAAAAAAACGCGTCACCTGAGTACAGACTACTGGCAAGCACCTGTGCTTTTCCTCTTTCCTTCCCTGGAGGATGGGAGTGGACATTTGCAGCCCACCAGGACCTGCGTCGCAGCTGGATCAGGGGCACAGGGGACACCTGAGGCTGGTGGCCGGTCACGGGGCGCCTCTTCTGACCTGCTCATCTGACACTTTGCAGATCCTCATTGGCTACTTAGAGCTGAATGTTTATAGAATTTTTGGTAAAACCATATAAACCAGATACAAAGTGGAGTGATACAGAATTCTGATCATTGAATAGTTTCTAAAAACAAGAAAATGTTTACACTTTATTGTACATTTGACACAGAAGAGGCCACATTTAAACAAACATTAAATCTCCAGCGCACTTCCATTGTCGTTTCAGCCTCGGACATAACATTCGTATATGCTGTATCCATCATTTCTTCTGTAATTTAACCTCAGTTTTACAAATTACACCATGATAAAACTTAAAAAAACAACAAAAAAAAAGACTCATGTGAGCTAGCTTCCTGCAACACTGGGTAAGCCAGTCAAATGCATCCCACAGTAGATTCCGGCAGCTGTTCTTTAAAAAGGGAATTCTCATGATTTCAATGCTATACAAACTGAAGCTGGAGACCATACTCAGAAGTCAGTCTAGAAAATGGCATTGCAAAAGGCTGGGGTGAGGAGTAAAAAATCCAAGGGTGGCTGCTGACAAGGAGAAGTCAGAGTCTTCACTGCCATAAGTCTTCAGTGCGGCCAAACTTAAAAACCAGTCCTCTGCGAATAAAATAAGAAACATCACATGGCTACTTGAGTTTGGGAATAGAAATGTGAGATTTGGAGTCTGGTGGGAAACTAGAAACAAAGAATAACTGATGAGTTGCATGAACAAATCCACAGGATGTGTATCAAGACAGAAACTGATCATTCCAAGGTAGTCAATTCTTCTGCTGTGCTTAACTGGTTTCCCCACATCCTTTGAGTCTTGAAGACATAAGTCACTCTTAAAAGGTTAATCAGTGTTTAGTATGTAAGCAGTATGTATTGATTTTATCAAATTCTTTCAAGAAAGCTTTTCTGAGTATTGATGTCCTACATGTCAGATTCTAGGGCTATAAGGATAAATAAGATATATAGTCTCTGGCCTCAAGATTTTCACATTGTTGATGACACAATGTGGTAGGTATTGGGAAAGGGAAGTGGTTATACCAAATGTTAAGGGAGTATAGAAACATACAGAACTTATTCTGCCTGAAGGTAAAGAAAAGGATTTACAGAGGTGATAATATGGAGATGGGCTTTGCCAGACAGGCGGGAATGTGAATGAAGGCAGGCAGGAACTGGGGCCAGTGGGATGATGAAGGAAGATGTCTCACAGAGAGGAAGGAGCCTATCAAAAGGCAAAGAGGAATAAAAGAACCCTGGGCCTTAGGAAAAGTCCAGGAGGTGGATGTGTCCTGAACACACCCTCACGGAGCTTACAGTCCAGGGCTTGGTGGAGAGGGGTCTACAACTGTCCTCAAAGCTTCAACTCGAGAGGAATAAGAGGGCAATGAGAAGATGTATAGATCCAAAGACACCTGAGGTACACCAGAGCAGAGAAGAGTCTAATAGGCTAGACTGACGTTTAGGAGACAAGGAGGACAGGGAGTAGAGGCAGCCAAGATCTGGCAAACCAGTTGACCAAGATGGTGAATTGCCCACAGGTGCCTTACAAGCCCTAAACAAGCAGGGGACAGGTACTCAGCTGTATGCGCCACTAAAAGGGGCACCTGGGACTCAGTCCCAGGTCACACATGAAATAGGGCTATGCGGATGCAGCCCTGGTTGCTGCTGGGTAGATGGGGGGTAGGGGATAGGCTTGTCAGATCTTCCAGTTTTTCAAGAAAATCCTCCTACTCTGATTTTTATGTAAAATCTATTTTTAAAACGTGGCTCAATAAAACAAAGACTACTGTATATGACAGACAGAACAGGATGTGACCTGATGGCCCTGGCATGACCCTCCTACGTAGATAGCTCAGAGTCTGGAAGAATTTTTAAATGGAAATGAGGTGATTAGAGTTATGTGTCAGGAGGAGAACTGGCCCAGAAAAGCTGGGTCTGAGGAGGAGCCAGTGGGAATGCAAACTGCTCAGGAAGGGATGATGACGCCCAAACACAAACCACAGAGTAGAAGAGAAGAGAACAGGCGCAGACAGCAGAGGCAGATCCCACAGGGCATGGATGTGGGGTAGGTGTCAGGGAGAAGCTGAAGACAGGAACAGACAGCTCAGTGGTATATACGGGTTTCCATCTTCTTTTCTCATCTGCTTGCTAATTATTGCTATACACTGACCGTGAAGCCCATGTGATTCGTTTCAAAAAGGTTTCAGAAAGTTTTTATAAAACACTTGAGTATTTTTAGTTGGAAACAAAAAATGCAAGCAGGAAGTCATCTGTTCCCTCTTTTGGAAGTATCAATTTCTCTTTATAAAGGGTTTCATGAGCCTCCAAAAGGCGATTTGATTTCTGCCAGTCCAGTTATTATGAGACCTACTGCTGCAAAGTTGGTTATTAGGGGCCTCTACTCTCCAGGTAGCTAAGAGAGGTTACCCCCTCAGGACACTAGTCAACAGATGTAAACTATAATCTGAAGAGTTCTTTGGACAAGAGCCAGGCCTCCGACACTGTCAGCTGGCGACCTCTGCTACTGACATCTGTTTCTTATTTTTGAAATAGCAATTTCTAAGCTGTTGCAGAGTATTGTTCTATTAAAACTCAGAGTGGTAGGCAATCTGCTACAGCTATTCTGATTATGGTGTCTATAATTGAATTTAATTTCAATTTGCTTATAGTATTTTAAAAAAAGAATTAGTTTTAGACTTAATAGGTACGACAATAACATGAGAAATTAATCAAACATGTTGCGTAAAAAAGTAATTTATTATAGCTAATTTGAGACAATGACAAGTTAATGAGTGGGGTTTCCAAGGTTTTATGATACTGATAACTTTTCTTCTCTCACTGAAAGAGAAAAAATTTTCTTACAAATCTACTCTCCATCTTCTGTTCCTCCCTGCTGTGACAGAATGACTTCTCTGCCATCTTAAGGTGGAACTTACCTCTTCCCTTACCCTTGCCAGAGTGAATACTGATTAAAACAGAGAAGGCTGCTGTTTGCCCCTCCCAGGCTCAGTAAATCCTCTCCCCATCACCCCTTCCTGAAGCTTTTCTCACCCCTCCCTCTGGCCCTCTTACACTACCTTCCTTTGGCTGAATTTGGAGGGGACTGAACTCCCCCCAGCACCTTGAGCCCTGTGGAGATACTGCAGCAGTGAGCTCAGGATGCCTGGTCTTGGCACTGCAGCTCAATGGGGAAAGAAATTCTAAATATTATGCACCCCTTCCCCCCAATAAATACATGCTACATTACCCTACAAAGTAACATACTGATTAAAAATTTATTTTATAAGGTGAGGGGTAAGGTTTACTCATTTTGCACTTTTCATCTATAGTCTTACATTCTTTTCTTCCCCCCAATGGAAGAAGGGAAATAGAACTAAACAACTGATGAAAGACTCAAGAGGAGAAAATGTCCACTGAATTCATCCTGAGTTTTAATTCCCTCACCAGAGTAGTCAGAGCCTGAACTCTGGAGTCAGATGACCTGGAGTTCGCCATGTGACCTAAAATAAGTCACCTGCCTTCTGGGTACCCATTTCCTCCACATCAAATGGGGAGAAAAGCAGAGCCGCCCACAGAGTGCGGGGGCGCCAGCTTACAGAGGGGAGCCTCATACATAGTAACTGCTCGGAAAATCTTTGGTCGTCGTTATTTTCCGTATAAGATCAAATGCTTGACTGTATTTCTATATGTTAGCGTTCTCGTCAGACTGGAAAACCCTTTAAAACAAGTCCTTGGCAACTTCCAAATTAACCCTGGTGACTGTGATATCCCTCTGGGATTTTGTAGATCTGGGTTTTTTCCCACTTGTGTCAGGAAATAAGGTATGACCCAAATAGGTGGTATATATCGCCACATGATTTTGTGAAATTGCAAAAATGACCGTGGTGGAATGCCAAGTGTGAACACTGCGTGCTGATGGCTATTAAAGGGCACTGCTTAGCATCTCAGGAAAGGTTCAGATAGCTACAGGGCCTCTACTTTCTTTCTTTGGTGGGGAGGGGTGAGTCGAGAAGGGGTAGGGAAGGAAACATCCTAGAATGAACAGCAATTTCTTAACCTTTTTTTGGGTAAGGAATTTTGAAACTCAGGTGAAAGCCAGAAGACACAGAAACACCAATGGCTCGCATACCCAAATGTCTGGTGGCCCCACCTTCAGAAACCTACTCATGGAATAGAGGATAAAAACTCCTGCTACAGACCATAAAAAAGAAGTTTGGGGGTAAGGGGAAGGAGGTAGATGGTTCACTAGGGAAAAGGAAAAGAGTCTAGGAATGAACATTAGAAAAAATTACTGATAAAAGTATTAAGGTTTTCATAATCTCTTAGACATTGTATCAGAAGGGTTAAATTTCATGTACAAATTCTAATGATGCCAAGGATAGAAAGAACTACAAAATACGCCCAGAAACAAAATTTTAAGGAAAAAAGTTTTAAACAGACCTTCATTAAAAGCCACTGTTAAAATACAGATTTAAAATGAACACTGACTTTGTTACATAACTAAATCCACATGAATTACAGTTCATTAAAGGGGAGTGGTAACAATTTTAAAAATCAATGTATGTGCCCAAGGGTGGTAGCAAACCAACCCATGTATTAAAAATATCTTTCCTGGGCCTCCCTGGTGGCTCAAGGGGTTAAGCACAGCACTGTGAAGCTATCTGCAGCCTCTGCTGCATGAGTTCGATCCCCAGCTGGCCAGGAAGCTACCCACATGGCTCAGCATACCTCTCCTGTCTTGCCCGCTGCTCCCCTCAGCAGTGTATTTCAGTCAATCTGCCTGTTCTGTTCCCCGCTCTGGTTCTGGCGAATCCTCTCACCCCCTGAACCTTTGGCCTGTATCCCAGCTCTTACATGCATAAATAAATCTTTTTTTTTTTTAATATTTATTGAAAGATTTATTTATTTATTTATACAAGCACTGGGTATAGTCAGAAGCGTGAGAGGATGAGAGAATTCACCAGAGCCAGAGCAGGGAACAGAACAGGCAGACTGATGAAGTACTCTGCTGAGGGGAGCAGTGGGCGCAGCAGGAGAGGTCTGCGCGCCATGTGGGACCCTCGCCGGTGGCCGGGGATCGAACCAGCACTACAGAGGCTACGGGCAGCTTTGCGGCCCAGCGCTCAACCGCTGTGCCACCAGGGGAGGCCCTGCATAAATAAATCTTAAAAAAATTTTTTTCCCAATCTCATTCTTCACATTTTATGACAAGGTGGGTAAGGGGCATTGGACAGGGATAAATCAAGCAACAAAATATAGTAAGTGTCATAAAATAAACTGTTAAAAAAAAATAGGGTGAAGAATGCAAAAACAAACTTACCCAAAAAAGATGAAGGCATTTTGGAAAAACACAGCAATTCCAGGGTATACTACGGTTTTTTCTGTAAAAAATAATTGTAATAGTTAGAGATTTAGGATCTCAAAACACTTAGACTTTTAAAACAACTTGTTTCTGATACACTCATGAATATTGGGTTTCCTGCCTAACATCATTGATTTTTCTGGTGACTGGTTGGTTTGAGTATGAAATGACAATGCAGATGACAGTCCAGCACTGGATATATTTCAACAGTAGAGTCAGACCGGGTGTGCGCTGAGGAAAAGACAGTTATCATTTAAAACTTTTGTTTTTAAAGGATGATGGTAACAAAAATTTTGTAGCAGCAAATACTTTAAAGCAGTAAGAATATTATAGTTTTTTTCCCTACATTTTAATAAGGTATTTCTAATAACAAATTATATAAACAAAGGAAAAATATAAATATTTTAGTCTATTTTTCCTGTCTGTAAGATTTCAATAATTTTAATAAAAAATCAAGAAAATGATGATTTTAATCCAAGAATTACATTTTAGTCAAAGAAATGTTAAAATAAGAGCTAGATTAGATCTCTGCTGGTTCAGTTTCTGCAAACCATTAATACAATGTTTTCTTTTCTTTTTTTTTGAAGATTTATTTATTTATGCACACAAAAGCTGGGGTACAGGCCAGAGATCCGGGGGGAGGTGAGAGGATTCACCAGAGATAGAGTGGGGAACAGAACAGGCAGATTGACTGAAGCAGTCAGTCTGCTCCCGCTACTGACGGAGCAGCGGGCAAGACAGGAGAGGTCTGCTGTGCCATGTGGGTTGCTCCCTGGCTGGCCGGGGATGGAACTCATGCTGCAGAGGCTGCAGATTGCTTCATAGTGCGGTGCTTAACTCCTTACGCCACCAGGAGGCCCAATACAATGTTTTCACTATGATAAGCATAGTCAGCTTTATCTGGAACTTTAAGTGGTTTTCATATTTGTCTGGGGTTCCTCAAGGCAAAATTTGAGTCACAGATCTAAGTACAGGCCCTTCTCTGAGCCTGCCTTACACTGGCTTTAATAGCAGATGCATATTAAGTGTTAATTTACTTTTCTATCTAAAAGGAGATGTCAAGTGATCAGGAGGCTGAATTTAATAAATTGCAATTCTAGGATGTTAGACCTTTGCGTGGAAATTATTCAGCCAAGTCAGAACTTGCTAAGTAGCCAGAGAACATAATGTGTGTGTGTGTGTGTGTGTGTGTGTGTTTTTCTTGCTTCTGTGGTTTTTGAAAGCCAAGAGAAGCAAGGGTCGGAGCTGTGTTCCATTACGTACAGGCTCTAGATTAGAAGGAAAAACAGAGAAGAAAACAATATTAAAAACATAGCAAATGAAAATACTGATGGGGGAGGGAAGTTCCCAGGCATAAAATGAATTGCATGTAGTTGGTCCTTCTGCCTGGAAAAAGCTTTATTCTAAAATAATGCAAAATTTCAGTATTCCACTGAAGTTAAAGGTAAGCTGTGCCTTATCCTACCTTTAGCAACATAACCTCCAAAGAGAATCCACATAGATGCGATCAGAGATCCGAAGGCCAACATGAAGCCAATGAACAGCCAAATGCGAGCACCTTAAAAGAAACATTCGATGAGAGTGCTTCTTACATGGCAGCAGCCAGTTCAGTTCAATTTTCAAAAAGAAACTAAAACTCAAATACAAAAAAAAATGTGTAGTTGCCACTAAAGTCTGAAATGAAAGCAGCAGCAGGAGATGAGTTGAGTCACCAGCCCATTCGCTGGCCTTGTGTGTGGGGGCTGACGCCGGAGCACTGTTCCAGGCGCCGGCACTGCCACCCCCGATCACGTACACTGAAAAGCACTTTGCTCAACCTTCCTATAAAAATCTCACAAAAATGTTTCACCATTATTACAGGTTCACTTTGGTCTATTTTTAGAAATTGTGTTGCAAAGTTCATTGTCTTTCAAGAGGATTTTCAAAGAATAACATAGGTAGACTTGATAAAAAATTCATGTTTAGTGGTATGCAGATCAACACTGCCATATTTCGCTTTCAGGGAAGTCGGGCAGCAAAGTAAATTCCAATTGATGGTGATGGGCACTTAGAAATGCTGCATTAAAATTATGTCAACAGAAAAAAGACAATCAACTTTTAACTCACATTTATATAATATTTATAAAGATTTTCCCTAATATAAATGGAGTCATTAAATACACCTTCATCTTATGTCTGATTGGAAAGAGTTTGACAAGGGCATTTCCATATGTAATTCTCACTCAAGAATGTATGTTAAGATGCTGTTTGCATCTATTTACCTGTTTGACCCAGGCAGCCTTCACTGTAACTATCACCTCGGACTTGTCCATTCGATACTGCATTAATCCTGTAGGAACAAAAGAAAACAAAGAAATCAGGGTCTCTCACTCCAAAAGAAAACTCTCCATGACATCAAATGACCAAATACAATAAGCCAGTGTTCCTTAGATTTAAGTTTAGGCCTCATGAGCCTTGAGTATGGTTTGGTAGGAGAATGGGTTCAAATGATCTTAAGCAAGTTCCTTCAAACAGATGGCCTCTAAATAGAGTCCTCAGATCAGAAGAATCAGCATCACCTGTAAGTCGCTAGAAAAATTCTCCAGTCCCAATCCAAACTTACAAATGCAAAAATGGAGTACAGGACCCAACAATCAGAGTCTTTACAAGTACTTCTGATTCTGATGCTTGTTAACATTTGAGAGTGAAATTCTCTTGAAATTATGTTTTGTGAAGATGGGACAATCTTTAGCCTTGTCCTATCCAGTTTCACACGTACACATCAGACAAACACAACACAGGATTATATATGGAAATAGCAAGAAAATGGACCGTAGATAAGCCAAAAATGGCTTAAAATTGGCTTTGGAATGAATTTTTTTGTGATAAATTTGTACTAAGGTCCAATTTTGTTCAAGTGAAGAAATAATTATATTTCAAAGAAAATAAAAATGTTTGCTCTGAAGACATTATCAAGAGATTCAAGTAAAATCTTGTTTTTGTTTTTTTAAATTCCTGATACATATTCCAAATATAAGACTGTCGCTGACTTTGATAGAATACCACTCTATATTGAGAATGTCTGGCTTTCTTTTTTTTTTTTTAATAGAGGCATGTTTTTATTTATTTATTTGTTTGTTTGTTTATACATGCACTGGGTACAGTCAGAAGCGCGGGAGGGCGAGAGAATTCACCAGAGCCAGAGCGGGGAGCAGAGCAGGCAGAAGGACCGAAGTACACCGCTGAGGGGAGCAGCGGGCGGCAGGAGAGGTCTGCACGCCATGTGGGACCCTCCTCCAGTGGCCGGGGAGCAGCCGGGGATTGAACCGGCGCCGCAGAGGCCGCGGGCAGCCTCGCAACCCAGCGCTCAACCGCTGCGCCACCGGGGAGGCCCTGTCTGGCTTTCTTTAGAAACATATCCTTTAAAAATTAAATGTCACGGAAAAATGGTCACCATATAGCAAGCAAAGGAGTTATAAAAGATTATGTATGTCACATATTACAGCTAGATACACGGTCATTTAACTGTGTGAGTTGTGTGTCTACCACTAATATGTTAGCTTCATGAGGGCCAGGGCTGGGTCCATCTTCTTTCCCATGGGGCTTGGCACATAGCAGATGCTCAATACATGTCCTGACCACACGAACCGTATTTTTTTTTCCCACAGTAATATGAAGTCATTGAAATGTAAGTTTTAGACTGATCAAAACACTCATAATTATTTTTGACAACCCATATTAACTAAATTATTTGGTACATAAATTCATATATTTTTTTTAAAGATTTATTTATTTATGCATACAAGAACTGGGGTACAGGCCAGAGATGTGGGGGGGTGAGAGGATTCACCAGAGACAAGAGTGGGAGTAGAACAGGCAGATTGAAATACACTGCTGAGGGGAGCTGCGGGCGAGTCAGGAGTGGTCTGCTGCACCATGTGGGTAGCTCCCTGGCCGGGGATTAAACTTGTGCTGCAGTGACTGCAGATAGCTTCATAGGTTGCATCTTAACCCTTTGTGCTACCAGAGAGGCCCTCATATATTTTTAAAAGAAGCTGCTTCTTTTAGAATATGGAGGATGTTCTTAGGTTAGATTCATAGCAGAGCTGTTTGCTGAGCCATCTGCACAAACTTCACCGCCCCCCTGCCAGAGGGTCCTAAATCTGCTTGTCAGTATCCACTCAGGCACATTCTGAAATGAAGAGTTTCTCTTCTCTAACATTACAATTTTACATATAGTCTCAAAGTTACAGAAAAGCTACACAGTTCAAACATTTTTTCCCCTGAAACACTGAAAGTTGCACATGATGCCCCGTAATCTCAGATAGTTATATGTATTTCCTACAAACAAGACAGTTTTACAGAACCATAATCATGATCAAAGTCAGGAAACCGACACTATCTACTCTTCAGACCTCATTCGATTTCCTGAGTAACCTAAAAATGCTCTTAATAGCAAAAGGAATCATGAGGTACATTGTGTTCCTTTGTCTCTTTAGCCTCCTCAGACGGGATCAGTTCCTCGGTCTTCTTTGTTCTTTGGCGTTCATGATCTTGACCCTTTACTCCAGTTATACTGGCCTCTCTGTGATAGAGCCTTTGTGCTTGCTGTTCCGGTTGTCTGGAATGATTCTCTCTTCTTTAACCCAGTGATAGCGCCCACAATTTTTTCAAGATTTTTCTCAATAATCACCTTCTTGGTAAGACTTTCTTGTCTCTATTTAATAATTCTATTCTCTCCTGCTGACATTCGTACCTCCCCCTTTGCCTCTTCTCTCTAGTGCTCATCACCATATCGTGTGCCGTGTAGTATTTAACTTCACTAACTCTCTTTAGTTACTATTTACTTTATTCACTAGAGTATACATTCTATAAAGGCATAGTTCCTTTTTTGCGTCCTCGTGTATTTCTTGTGCATAGAACAAAGTCTAGGAATACAAAAGCTTAATACATATTTGATGAATGAATAACTAAACCCTTACAAATATATTAATTTAGTAACAGTTACAAAATTTAAATGTACTTAACTATATAGGTAAACCATTTTTATTTTGTGACAATCCTTTTAAGTAACGTGACTGACAAGGACACTCACATGAGGAAGGCAATGGTTGCTATGACGCCGCAGGCATGGTATGAGTGGTTGAACTCTTCCATTGTGGGATAAATGACAGCTGCATCTATGATAATCCACCAGCCTGTAAAAAACTAAAACAAGCCACACCAAGGTGATACCAGTAAATACAGTGATTTCATATCTCACTGTCTAACAGAAAGCAAGGTGTCTATGTGAAGAGAAGCCCTCTAATGAATTTTGAAATGTTCTTTTATGTCTCAGTATTTTTTTTGCATAAAATCTGCATGTGGCTTAATTAAATATTAAATAGCCTTAGTTGGACAGCAATTACTATTTATCAAGATGAACCTGTTTTCTAAGTTGGCCTTCATCATTATTTTATACTGTCATGACGAAGTCTTTAATATAATTGTGTGAACTAGAAATAAGTTACAACACCTCATGGCAGGAGAAAGGAGAAAAAATGATTCAGATTCCAACAGGGAAGGAGTGGCCTGCTGCTCCAGGAAGATGTTACTATTGAAAATGAAGAAAAAGTAAATCTCAGAATAACACTATGACTAATTCTCGTGGGGAGAATTTTATCTACTTGCTGGGATTGTGAAATAAGTAGTGGCTCTGCAGCTCTGCTTTTCCTTTTGATAGATTAATTATAGTACAGTTTACGGATGATTTCAGGTGTGGTGCTAAATTCAGTTTAAATACCAAATTATAATATTTACTATATACTTCTAGTAATATAAGTTTAGTATATAAGTATATGTATTTATTATATACTGGTCCTAAGCAACATTTTTTTAATTAAAGATTTATTTATTTATACAAGAACCAGGGTACACGCCAGATGTGCAGGAGGATAAAAGGATTCACCAGAGACAGAGCAGGTTACAGAACAGGCAGACGGACCGAAGACACTGCTGAGGAGAGCAGCGGGCGAGATAGGAGAGGTCTGCTGCGCCATGTGGGTTTCTCCCTAGCCAGCTGGGATCCAACCCGTGCTGCAGAGGCTGCGGACAGCTTCACAGTGCGGTGCTCAACTGCCTGCGCCACCAGGGAGGCCCCTAAGCAACATATTTTAATGAGTTTTCTCTCTTTTTTTTTTTTTTTTTTATGAGATTGAGAAGAAAGTTAACACTGCATTATGGAGAGATGCAGAATTCTGCAGAATTTTGATTTCACTGCTTTGACCCTGCTGTTTCTGAAATAGTTCCCGATAACTTAATGTACCCAGTAAGAGGGGGCATAATCCAGATAACAAATATGTAAGATATACTCTTATTATACACTGCAATTGACAAAACAGTCTACTGATCAAATTTCAACTCTCAACACGGAATAACTCAACTCCTTTGTCAACTAAATATCAAAGCTCAGTAAAATAAATTCAAGATAAAATAGCACCAAAACAAAAACAAACACACCAAAATAATGGTCTAAATTAGTGATGGCACTTACTAGAACACCAGCAGCAATTGAAGCAATAGTATTGCGCTTTTCCCCCCAATCAATGCATTCGGAGCATCTCAAGCCTTCTAGAAATCCAGACATTTTTCCAGGTCACTTAAAAACAAACAAAAACCAACTAAATAAAGTACTTCCAATTATTTGCTTCAGAACCTGACTTAAGTTCCCAGTGAAGAACTAACAAACTGTTCAAAATAATTTAATAAAAGTGTAGTTACAAATGCTTTATTTTGTGGCTACTTATACTTCTTCAGAGTATTTGATTTACTTTTTGATTATAACTTTGGGGGGGGGAATGTGAATTCCACATTATAACTTTGGGGGGGGAAATGTGAATTCATTTAGTCATTTTTATTTTAAAAGATGGTTTTGGTATATTTAAGTAATATGAATAAAGGGGGAAACCAAATTTTTGGCAAGTTTAACTGCTGATGATCTCTTAAAAACTGTCATACACTCATTTTCAAAGTCGATTACCACTTAAGTGATTCTTTTAATAATGACGATGATTATTCACTTGCAGTCTAAACGAATTTATATGGTTTTGATATTTACAGTGAGGAGCACTACCATAATGTAGACACAATGATAAACTTCAGCTATGAGTTAAAGCATGAGTCAGAGGGAAAGTATTTCTTGCAGGAATTTACACACTTTATTATAGAACGATTGTTTCTCCACACTCAGATTAAGAAATTAAACACTGCACTGATGATCTTCTACCCGCATCACTTCCTTTCCTATCCTTTTTCTGTCTCCAAGGCCACCTTTTGTTTCATGTAAAGATTACCAATTTTATCTTAATATCTCTTAGAGTCTTACACATGTTTCCAAGCCAAAAATAGAGAAAATTGAGGCTAATGTTAATTCAGACAAAAAAAAAATCCATTGCTAAATTATCTTAGCCGACCTAAACTGTCTTAAATTACATAAAACATTTCTCCGAGATGAGATGCAGAGACTTGGCCTGAGACACATCCACATTACCTTTATTGCAGAGCATGAAAAAGCCTGAATTACGGATAAATCACTAATAATCAAGAAATACCCAGAACTCCCAGAGTGAATTTGAGCCCAACCACTAAGTTACTCTGTTGCCAGCCATCGGGCTGTCCAAATCCTATGCTTAAAGCGAGCCATGAATGCAACTGTAGCCTCACGCTTTAAAACTGGATATAAAAACTGCAGCCAGCGCTGATGTGCCTCTGGAAACGCGCTCCTTTTTCTTCTTCCCGGGGAGGACAGCAATCTATTATGCGTCATTTTCGCTTCACCCCGGCGACCCCGCCCCGAATCCCTGTTTCTGGGGTGCATTACCAGCGCGCTCGGCTCAGCCTCCGCCCTCCGGCCTCGGGAGCCGGGGTGTGGGGACGGGGCTTGGCACGGCCGGGCACTCCCCACACAGAGCCCGGCCGCCTCCCTCCCCGGCGGGCCGGCGGCGACACCCCCTCCCGGTCAGCGTCTCCAGCTCTAAGTGCGGGGACCTGCCGCGCGCGCGGCCCCTCGCCCGCCGGACACCGGAGGAGCCAGGCAGGGGCCGGGAAGGGTCCACGGGCACAGCCCGACCCGGCGGCTTCCCGGTGATGGACGCGAGCCCGCCAGCATCACGCGGGCAGGCGGTCCCCGAGCCGAGCCCCGTGCGGCCGGAGCCCGGCCCTCCCTTCCGCGCCGGGCACTCACGTCCAGCCCCGCCCGAGCCGTCGGTCCGGAGCCCGGTGTCGCGCAGCGGTGGGCGGCCTCGCTGCCCCCGACCCAGCCGAGAAAACACTGACGTCACGGGCCGCCGGTACCCGGATGGAGCGGCGCCGCCAGGGCTCGACTGCGCATGCGGAGGGCGGGCCCCGGGGAGGGGGCGGGCCCCGGGGCGGGGAGGGGCGGGGCAAGGGCGGGGCGGGGCGCCACGCCTCCCGCGCCCCTGTCCGGGCGTCTGCTCTTGGGGCGGGTCGCGGGGGCCTTGAGCCGCCCTCAGTTCGCTCCCGGACGCCGGCAGTGGTCTTGTGCGTGTACTTTGCAGGGATAGGCGTGAGAAGTCGGGTCTGTCTTGGGCACTCAGGGGAAGGCATCTGCTGGGCCTTCGTATCCGTCTTGAGGGCGGGGGAGAGTTTTCTGGTGCTGGGGTCGGGTCCCGGGATGGCTCAGGCCTGGGCTGCAGCGAGAGTGCCAGGTCACGCGTGGTGCAAAAGGTGGGTGTGGCCTGGTAGCCCCACAGCACAAATAAGGGCTCTTAAATCATGTTTATGTTCTCAGACTCGGGCCCCGCCCTCGCCGTAGCTCCGCCTGCGGGGCGGGGCCATTCCCGGGAGGCCGGGACCTCATGGCCCGGGCTGGGGGTCTGCAGGCCTAAGGCCAGCTGGTGATCCGCTTTTGGAACTTGATCTTTTTTTTTCCGTTTGCTTTAGGGCATGGTTTCTCAGCCTAGGCACTGCTGACATTTTGGGCTAATTCTGTTATGAGAGGCCGTCCGTGCGTCCTAGGATGTTTATTTGCATACCACTCCCTGACAGTGCCATTCTGCAGTGACTACCAATAATAGTTTATCACCTTTATTTGATTTACCTTATGCTGCATTTCTCAGAAAGACTAAATGTAATTGGCTAAAGTCAAAAATAGCACATAGGAAAGCCTACTAGATACGCTTTCACTCATAAAAATGGGAATGGAATGAACTATTTTTTCAGTTAACCATACTGGATTCGGACTGTTCCATGATCCATAAGGTGCGCCTGAAAAAAAATCTTCTTTAGTAATAAAGTGCTGAAAATTGGTAGGTGGAGGATGCAAGACCCATATGATGTCTCTGTGGTAAAGCCAAGGTGTCAGCAGGCTTCATTCCTTTTTGGAAGCTCAAGGGAGGATTCCCAACACCTTGTTCATTCATATATTGACAGAACTGTGTTCTGAGATTATAAATTGAGGTCTGTTTCTTTGGTGACCAGCATCTGACAGCCACCCTTAGCTCTGAGAATTCTCCCTCTAGTCCTTGCACATAGCCCGTAATGTTTCAGAAGCAGCAACTTGGGGTATACAGTGCTTCTCTTGTTTTGAATCAGTCCTACAGTTAGAGTTGGCCTTTTGGTATAATCCAGGATAATCTCATCTCAGGAGCCTTAATTTTAATCACATCACATCTGCAAAATTCCTTGTGTCTTAAAAGGTTCTGCTGAGTTAGGGTGTGGATATCTTTGGCAGTTAGGGTGTGGATGACTTTTGGGTGGCTATTAATCTGCCTACCACATTGAAAGACATTAAAGAAAAAAAAACCCAACAAGTAGGGCCTCCCTGGTGGTACAAGGAGTAAAATCTCAGCACTATCAAGCTCTTGCCAGCCACTACAGCACGAGTTCGATCCCTGGCCAGGGAGCTACCCACATGGTGCGGCAGACTTCTCTGTCTTGCCCACTGCTCCCCCTCAGCAGTGTCTTTCAGTCAATCTGCCTGTTCTGCTCCCCACTCTGTCTCTGGTGAATCCTCTCACCATCACTGCATGGCACCCTAGATCTTGTATGCATAAATAAATAAATAAATAGGGCTCACATTTGACTGATACTATGAACTATCTGCCTACAGAGACTCCTACCACTTTTTCCTCATTCATCACCAAGAACTGAAAACTTTTACATTGTTTCCCCAGCAGTTGTCAAATCTGAAGCTCAGTTTATTTCTCTCTCTACTCCCACAGCTTCATGAAGACTTCCAGCTTAAGTTCTTGGTAGATGGACACTGTATCTTCTCAGTTTACTTATGATTGCACTTATAATATTGTTTCTAAAGAAACATTTCAACACTTGGGTAGGTGCAGATTTGTGGTTCCATCCACTGCTGTGCATGTTTTGGGGAAGTGGGGTGAAGAGGAACAAGAGAAAGCTGAATTTGTATCTCCCTCTGAAGAAAATGACTTTTGTAAAAAGGTACCTGGAGGCTAAATAATTAAATTGCTTTCAGACCTTAAAGAGTACAGAGGGGGAAAAAAAACTTATCTCAACTTTTCCTTTTGAGGCTCGTTATACAGATACAGCAAAGGCTGGGGGTTTATCAACAACACAAAGATGTGTTGCAATGCTGGCTGGGAGCTGAGAATGCAGAGAAAGAAGGGGCTCCCCAGACGAGGAGGGGCATATCAGCAGAAATTCAAAATTCCAGTTGTCCAAAGAAAACCCTCTTCACTCACTCCTTCCCTTTGTCATCTCGCAGTGTGCTTGCCTTTTCCTTGCCATGTCTTCTCACAAGACAGACTTTCAGGTTCATGGACTTCCTGGCCAAGAAACAAAAACAGAATTGTCCCATTCCCCAGTGGATTCAGATGAAAACTGGTGATAAAATCAGGTACAATTCCAAGAGGAAAACACTGAAGAAAAACCAAGCTGAGTCTGTGAGGAATCACATAGAAGATGGAGTGCATATTTATGCTGTATTGCCATCAGTGGCATCTACCACGTTACTGAGAATGTCACTGCTTTATGGACATGTTTTCTCTTGTCACACTTCTGGCCCACTAACAAATATGTTAGCTCTTTGAAGAGTTATTTTATTCATGCATACAAGAGCTGAGGTGTAGGGCAGAGGTGCAGGGCATAGGAGATTCACCAGAGAGAGTAGGGAGCAGAACAGGCAGATTAACTGAAATACACTGCTGAGGGGAGAAGCAGGCCAGACAGGAGAGGTCTGCTGCACCATGTGGGTTAGCTCCCTGGCCAGATATTGAACTCATGCTGCAGTGACTGCCCATAGCTTCATAGTGCTGAGATTCCCCTTGCACCACCAGGGAGACCTTATGTTAGCTCTTTGAAAAAGAAAAACTTTTCATACTTCATGTAGGAAATGCCTCTCTATTAGTCAATAAACTTCAGCTAACCTCAGCTTTCTTTGCCCCTGATCAGTTTTTCAGCCTTTTTAAAAAAAAAGATTTATTAATTTATACAAGAACCGGGGTACAGGCCAGATGTGCGGAAGGGTGAGAGGACTCACCAGAGACAGAGCAGGGAATAGAACAGGCAGATCTACTGAAATACACTGCTGAGGGGAGCAGGGGATGAGACAAGAGAGGTCTGCCGCGCCATGTGGGTATCTCCCCAGTTGGCCAGGATTGAACCCACGCTACAGAGGCTGCTGACAGCTTCACAGCGCTGCGCTCAATCACCTGCCCCATCAGGGAGGCCCTTATTTTTAAATCTGGCCCTTGTCTCCAGAACGACTTAGTTTCCTGTCTCCAAAAGGCTGGAGACATTGAAACTTCCAAATAATGGTAACTCAGGGCTATAAACACTTGGGATTACAACCCTGTGACAACCAGTCATATCTCAGGTTACTATTCTGCTCCTCTATGCACCCCCAAACCTCTGCCCCTATTCAGCAGGGAATAGTTTCAGAAGATGATCTCGGCCTATTGCCCCTCAAAAATGAGGAACAGGATATAGACAGAGGAAGGAGTGGTCACCAGCGTGGGGAACCTCAAGTTCTTGCCCAACTCCTGAAGACAGCACTACAGAAAACAGGCAAAATTGGCTGAGACCAAAAAGGAGACCTTCTGTGTTTACTAAGGCAAAATAAATTAGGACCCGAAATTGTGAACACCATAATCCCGATCTTGATGAATGATGCCAGTTGGAGCACCAGTGGCCACGAGTCAGGCTATCAAAATAAGAATATGCTGACTGGCTCCCACAGAGCCCCGGTCCCTTTACCCTCTGGTCAACTTGAGAGCTTGAGATGGAATTTTGGGACAATAATCCAGCTATCTCCTCAAGATGCTAGCTCTTGGAAAACCTTTGCTTTCCTAGCACCAGTACTTGTTTCTCCAGATTGATTTGCAAGTGACAAGTAGCTGAACCTGAATCTGGCAACAAAACGCTCCTCTTAACTTGGAGAGATGCTCCTAACGACTCCTTAGATGATTAGACCATTCAATAAAAACGTTATGTCAAGGCATGTTCTTTATTAAGAACAGTGAGTATGTCTGAATGTATTCTATTTACAAATCCCTGGAAATAATAGTTAATGTTCAATCTCCAGCATCAAGCACATTGTCCTCCCTAGACATCTCAGACAACATTCTTACTCTCAAATAACGGTCATCTAGGGGCATCTTTGTGTAACAGGTGGTCCCCATGAAAGGGGAAGGTTCCAGGTTTCCTGCCCCACCCAAGGGAGGGTGGAGCTGAGCAGGAAGAGAAGAGGATGCAGAGGAGACGGAGGAAGGAAGGAAGCAGGATGAAGCCAGAAGGAGACCTGGAGGAGGCGCATGGACCTAGAGACATGTGAAGAAACTGCGCTTGTCTTTTGGTCGTGGACTGGGTGACACAGATGTGGGTGAGACCCGTGGAGAGGTGACAATGGCAGCTTTTATCTTGATGTTGATTTTGCCCTTTTCCTTCTGGGCTTGTCTGGTTGTTTCTGGCCCTTTTCTGTGGTCCCCACTGGAAGATGCTTTAGACTTGTGGCAGGCTTTGGGGCCTTGCTCTGGGCCAATCCCATTTGGATGGAGTTTTACCCACGAGGGGACGGGTAACTTTGGGTGCTTCATTTAGAAACTAGACTCTTTGCCTTTCCTGTATTGTTTCCTAGTTTTATTAAAGTTCCTTCCCATTAAAGTCTCCTATGTTTTGTGTTGATGCGGCGGATGGCAGAACCCATTCAGAATAGGCAGGTTTGCGGGGTTTGGGCTGCCCCTCTCCCTGTCCTATAACATTTGCATTCTCTGACTCCACTTTGTCTTTACAAAACAAGGAAGTAAAACCCTTTCCAGGTGCTGCTGCCTTGCAGAGCTGCCTGCCGCGCCGCCTGGGGAGGGCGCGGCCCCGCGGCCCCGCGGAGTCTAGATAGGGGGCCTTTCCCGCCGCCGGCCGGCCTCAGCACTGGAGGAGCTGGCCTGGAAGCGTGGGAGCGACCACGCCAGCATCAGCTCATCGCGGCGCCGCCGCGCAGGGCCGCCTAACTCACGGCTTCAGTCAGGAACACGGCCGGAGCGCGGGAGCGCCGGGAGGCAGCAGCACCACTTCCGGCGCATCCGGGGCCGGGGGCGGGGCGCGGGGGAGAGCGCGGAAGGCGGCGGTTGGACGAGCGGGAGGCCACGCCCCCGCCAACGTCTCTGCGCATGCTCAGGGCGGCGGCTCCCGGTACTTGCGTCGCGCCTGCGGGCTCCGGGCTCAGTGCGCCTGAGGACGCGGGGGGCGTGTGTCGTCGCGCCGACCTTGCCCGCGGGCAGCCGCGCCTCAGCCTCGGGGGAGGCGTCCTTTGGGCGTTTCTCTCGGCCTTGAGCGGGCGTCGGCGGCTGGGGGTGAGTTTCCCGCCGAGCGGCAGGGCGTCCCGGGCCCGCGGGCGGGAGGGCGGCCCTTGGCGTCGCCCTCCCTGGCGTTCCAGAGACTCGGGGCGCGTCCCCGGGGCCCGCCGCGCCGCGAGGCCGCCTTCCGGAACGCCGGCGGCCCCGCCGGTCTCTCCCAGCGCCGAGCCTTGGGGAGGCCGCGACCGCGGCCCCGATGTCCGGCTACGTGAACGACATGTGGCCGGGCTCGCCGCAGAAGGACTCGCCCTCGACGGCCCGCTCGGGCCGGTCCAGCCGCCCGTCCTCGGCGTCCGGGGCCTCCCGCTCGGGCTCCAGCGGCTGCGGGAGCCCGTCGTCGTCGGGGAGCCGGCCCGCGCCCCGCCGCGGCAGCCCGCCTCGCTCCGGAAGGCGCCACCCCGGGCAGCACCGGCGCTCCTCGCGCTCGTGCTCGCGCAGCCGGTCGCGGTCGCGCAGCCGCCGCGCCCGGCCGGGGCCCCGCCGCGCCGCCCGGAGGCCGCAGCGCCCGCCTCCCCGGCGCCGCTCCCGCAGCAGGTCCCGCTCGCGCGGACGGTCGCCGTCCCGCAGGGCCCGCGGCGTCCCGCGGGGGCGGCGCTACTACGGCTTCGGGCGCACGGTGTACCCCGAGCAGCACCGAGGTTGGCGCGCGAGGTCCCGGACGCGGTCGCGGAGCCGGACCCCCTTCCGCTTGAGTGAGAAAGGTGAGTCGGCGGCGGGGACGCGCGATCCCTTGGTACCTGTCTGCGTGTGTGGACGGCTCGGGAAGCTTGCGGTGCGGTGTGTTTCCTTGGCTGCCTGCAGTCTGAATAGTTTTTGGGAGCGAGGAAGAGGGTGGACATCAGCTGGCTAACAGGTATGAACCGGGCAACAGTTGGCACCGAGGGTGTTTTCCGGAGGACATCGTTCTTTCTCCTTGGGATGAAAGCGGCTCAGACTCCCCTCGCGTTCTCGCCTTCCACCCCCACCCCCGTGTTGGCTGTTAGTAGAACCTCTTAAGTGTAGGCGGCTTAGTTACCCATCCTAAAATTGTTTACCCACCCTGCACTTCTGCTGATTAACAGTTGAATGGTAAGGAAATATCAAAATATGCCTGTATTACAGAACAGATTGAATTTTCCAGTATTTTAAAACAAATGACTTGTGATACTTTGGATGGAATCATGGAATAGAAAAAAATGTGTTAGGTTAGAAAGTGTATTACAAAAAAGAAAAAAGCCTTGAACATAGTACATATTTGAAGAGAAGGCAAAAAACATGAAATTCCGAATTCTGGATCTGATCTAAGGGAAACTGAGATGAGAACTAGTTGTGATTATTCAGGGAGCTTATTTTTCTCAGCAAGAAAATGAGATACAGAATTTTGTTTATATGAGTAAAGTATTTTATTTGTGAAAATATATGGTGCTTTTCTAAATGAAACACAAGCTTTTTTGTGATTGTGAGTTTTTGAGGAAATACCATAGGATTAATAAATGTATTTTATTTCTTTTATAGATCGGATGGAGCTGTTAGAAATAGCAAAAGCCAATGCAGCAAAAGCTTTAGGAACAACCAACTTTGACTTGCCAGCTAGTCTAAGAACTGTTTCTGTATCTAAAACAAACTTTGGAACATCTGTACCAAATGGTGCAAAGTTTGAGGTAAGTATTTTAGGTTTATCCAAAATCTTCAGAAAGCTGCTGCCTGAAAGATCTAATTAGCCTTTTTTGTTTTATGTGAGTTGAATCTTGGAAAGGATAGCTAAATTTGCTAAACTCAAAATACCAGATATGACTGTGACACAGGGTCTTCTCCAGGAAAATGGGAAACAATGAACTTTTATTTTCAGTGACAAGGTATTAATTATTTTCATAATTATAGCTGGATCTTTGATCATTTTAATGTAGTTATCAAATTTATCTAGTCTTTACAGAATATCTGCTGCTTTCACTTGCAGCAGTTTTATGTTCCCACAAATTCTGTACCCAGCATACAGTATAGTTTATCTGCTTTATTTTTGTCTTATAGAAATCATGAATGTGGTCCCCAGACATTGATGAAGAAATTCTGTTGGTATTGATACATGGCAAAAGCTTTAGAGGTTTAACTAATTTGAAGTTTATGTTCACACACTGAAAGCTTAGTTTCTCATTTGGTAGATCCATGTGCATGTTAGAATTTGGGATAGGTACTATTTGGATAAGATACCAAAGACAATTTTTAAATTAAACAAAAGTACACTTAGGTAATGGTGGGGCATCAGTGATAAAGATGTCCCTTTTATAATACATGCAATATATTCCAGATGTTTTGAGAGATTACAGAAGAAGAGGCCTGCTTCACTCGGCAGATAAGTTTATTATGATTCTCCAGAAATGTGCAGGATGTACAGTGCCAAATTGCATTTTTGCAATTTAATAAGTGAACTCCAAAGCTTAAAATGCATCCCTTTACACAAGGGACTATGGTGATGGATCTTGGGTGCTATGGTGGTGGGAAAGCTACAGGGACTACACCTGAGGGGAGAAATGAAATACTGTGCAAAAATGAACAATGATGTAAGAAAATAAATTTAACAAAATTCCTAAAAGTAACTAGCTTTAAAGGTTGACTTAGTTAGGGATTAATAGAATCAGTTAGGAAAGATAATACTGTCTAGATGAACCTATCTTTCAGACCCAGATGTGGGTTTGCCTTAAGTATTAGAAGGAAACAAATTGAATTGCTCCTTTAGATAACTGGGTCCCCAGTTGACAAATGCCTTACTTTGAAAGTAGGTAATTTTTTCGTATGACTTTGAAAAGTTACTTGAATTTGTAATAAGGGGATAAAATACTCAGTGCTTTTGGGGGAAGAATGTCTTAAACTTATTAAGTCTATTTTGTTACTGAGAAAATTCAACAGAATAACTTGTTTAGGCTGTGTGTTAAGTTCAACTTGTTTTGTCTCTACAACTGGGCTGGTTTTTATACAGTACCGCAAGCCAAGAATGTGTATTATTAAAAGTACTCTTTCTCTTACTGTTTAGATGTCAGAAAACCTAACAGAAGATGGAACTAAAAACCCAAATGAAAAGTCTTCCCAGCAAAAAAGCATAGCCTTTAGCTCTCATGTAAGTAAATCTAAGCTTTGATTTGTTGTACTTAGATCATGTTTCCATTGAAGGGAGCTTTTGTTTTTATTTAGAAAGAACATTGTTTTTGTAGTGATAATTGGGAAACTAGTAAGCCTTAATCTTTTCTACTGCTTGCCACTTTACAAGTCAAGTGACTACTGTAATGGTCTCTTTACATATCTAGTATGTGCATTGTGAAGTTTCAGTATTTGCTTTTTTTTTTTAAAAAAGATTTCTTTGTTTATGCATACAAGAACAGGGGTACAGGCCAGAGGTGCGGGGGTGAGAGGATTCACCAGTGACAGAGGGGAGCAGAACAGGCAGAATGACTGAAATAGACTGCTGTGGGGAGCAGTGGGCGAGTCAGGAGAGGTCTGCTGCGCCATGTGGGTTGCTCCCTGGCTGGGGATCAAACTCATGCTGCAGTGGCTGCAGATAGCTTCATAGGTTGTGTCTTAACCCCTTGTGCCACCAGGGAGGCCCCCTTTAAACTTTAATTGTTGAAATAATTTAAAAGCAATTTAATCTTACAATCTCTTAATCAGAATATTTTAAAGTCATATAGGGGCTTAAAAACAAATGTTCTGGACTGAATGCCCCATTATCATAAGCCCTGTATTTGTCTGATTTTTTCCAAGCTTCCTGGTTTTATAGTTTACTTTCTTGTTATAAATGGGGTCTATATTTTGCATGTGGTTGGTGTCTCTGACATTTTCATCTTAAATGGAATTATTTAATGTATTTTATGAAAAGCAACTATTTTAAATTATGTACTGTGTAAATGTTTGGGAAGCTGACTTAAGAATTTGTTCTCTTACAGAATTCTGTAGCAAAACCAATGCTTCAGAAACCAGCTAAAACTACTGCTATAGAGACCTCTTCAGGATCCCCCAAAATTGATCTGAAAAAAAGTCCATATGGACTGTGGATACCTATTTAAAAGAAGATACGGCCAAGGTTGCCTAAAATGCACTTTATTATAAATTTGTGTTCTAGCATTATTGTATTCCTTCGGGCCATTTATTGGTAAATGTTGCAGTTAAAACACCAACACAAAAAGATGTCAATACTTACTATTTTAAAATTAACATTTTAGATCTCTTGCAGTTAGAGAGCACAAATGGACCAGAGGTTACATACAGGTGGGAGTCTTATATATGTATTTGTAAATGTTTTGTATAATAGAGTGGTTATTTAGAAGTGAAATTTGTAAGACACAGTAATTAAACTGTGTTGTATATATTTTTAATAAAGTTGTTTTATTTTAGTCTCATTTTCATTTTTATATTACATAATGGGTCTTTATGTTAATGAAGAATAAGGGTGTCTGTCCTGATAAAAGCTTTAGAAAGATTTAAGTCATTTTTAGAATCTTTCTGCAAGTGTTATATGACTTAAACGATGAAATGTTTGAATTGAATGTTAGATATCAGATTAATGGAATTTTGTGCCTATGTGCTAGGTCTAGCTAGCAGTAAAACATCTTGCCTAGACATAGGCAAAAAAATAAAAATTCTAGACTAAAAACATGCACATGATTTCATTTCAGTGACATGGATGATTCATTTTAAGTGGGTCTGTTTTCTACTTTCTCTTTTGCCATCATTTTGAAGTCTTAAATTTAGAAAGCAGGGATAACAAGTTAGTCTAGCAGAATATTAGAGGCAAAATGAAAAAACATAGATACAGAATAAATAGGTGAGCAGGCTGAAAACCTAAGTAGTTGACTTTTTAAAAAGATAAAGGTCTTCAAGTAGATCCTAATAAATTGCTATTAACTGAAACTGTGCTGTTCAGTATCTTAGCTATATTTACCAATAAGATATCTGCCAGCAAGCTGGTAACTAAAATTTCAGTTCTCAGTCATGCTTGCCAGGTGTGTGCTGTACCCCTGTGTGGCTAGTTCGTATCCTGTTGGAAAGTACAAACAATACTTTCCTGTCATATAACACGGTATTGAATAGAACTGCTTTAAATAAAATTTTTTAAAGATTGATTTATGCATAAAAGAGCTGAGGTGTAGGCCAGAGGTGCTGGGGGGTGAGAGCATTCACCAGAGACAGAGTGGGGAGCAGAACAGGCAGATTGACTGAAACACACTGCTGAGGGGAGCAGCAGGTGAGTCAGGAGAGTTCTGTTGCGCCATGTGGGGCAGCTCTCTGGCCAGGGATTGATCTTGTGCTGCAGTGGCTGCTGATAGCTTCATAGTGCTGAGACTTAACCCCTTGTGCCACCAGGGAGGCCCTGCTTTAAACAATTTTTGATTCTATGAAAAAAATGTGCAGTGACTTGGATATGGATAGTCTTGCCCTTCAAGCCAGCAGCATATGGTTTGAATAAGGAGTTTCTGGAAAAAAGGGTTGCTTTTCTGAGTAAACATGTTCATTTCACATCTAGATTAAGAATGAGGTAGTCAGAGGGTAATACATGCTTTTAAAGGAGTAAAAATGTTTACATGCTAGGTTCCATTTCTATTCTAAGCAGATAATAGAATATTTTTAGACTTCCTGCTACAGTGAAATTCAGGAATACATCAGGATTGGTCTTTTAAGATTTGGAAATAGTAACCTGTGCATCCTGTTAATATTATAAGTTGGTATTCTGTTTAGCAAAGTTTCAGACTATTGAAAAGAGAAGAGTCTTTTCACCTCTGGTATCAGAGAACACCTGCTCTAATTAAGATCTTCATTCAAATACTAGCATTTAATAACTTAGTGGATAGGTCATGTGACCTCTTCAATTAAAACCCTTTCTGTGTGATGCGATTAGTTTTATAGTTTTGTGCCACTTCTGAGATTGACTTTCTACAGTAATCTTTGTCTTGTCACCATTCCCTTCTTATGCATATTCATGTGTTTGAGACATATTTCCTCTTTCATTCCTCAGTCTGCTGGCTCATTTTCTTTCTTCATAATCACCCTATCAGTCCTTGACTTTGTTGGTTGACCTGGCCAAGACTTTTCCTAGCTTTGTAACAGAATGGCTCGTTATGTGTGCATACCCCTAGACTACCCTCTATCCTTGCTCCATGGGTGTGGGATAAAGCATGGGACAGGCAGGCACCTGTAATTGTGACCACTTCTGGGGAGGAGGGAAGAGGAATTTCTAGTAGCCACTGTCATCTTCCTACCACATCTTGCAGGAACAGAACAATTTAGCATCCCACTTCTGAAGCACCTATGTTCAGGTCTATTTCAAGTCAAGTGTTGGACAAATTTTCTGGGCAATAATGATTCACTTTAAACACAGATACAGACGGGTTTTTGGTTTTTTTTTTTTTTAAAAACAAGTGAATAATATTTGCATGAAGATACATAGAACACTTGAGAAATTATGAAAGGAAAGATTTAGACTCCTGGTTTGCAAATAGTTCTAACGGAGATTAGACAACTGTTCCTCTTTCCAAGTCTGTTTAATTTCAGCTGTGTATTTCCCAGAGAATCTTTTTTGCTTTGTTGAATTTGGCATTCCTTTCATTAGGCAATATCTGCATCATCATAAGGGTATCTGACTATATTTATCTTGATTTTCAATACTATGGTGAAAACAGGATTCAAAGCTTTCTCTTTTGTTCATAGGCATTAGGACTGGAAGCAGAATCTTTAGAAAAGCATTCTACAGAGAAATATATTCAGTAAGCTTTCTTGAATTTAATAAGTTAGCAGTACCATGAGATGATATAGTCTGAAGTTCATGTTGAAATATAAAGGCAGCGATACATCATAGTACTTTGTAACAGTTTTTTATACACCTCTTGCTTCTACCAAATAATCACCCTATCCAAAACACAAATATGAAAGTGGTGGTGAATGGGACCATTCTTTAATAGTTGGTGTTCCTTAATTTCTCTCTAGTTGCTCCAAGGTCATAAATATATTTTTTTTTTTTTTTTTTTTTATAGAGGCATGCTTTATTTATTTGTTTGCTGGTTTGTTTGTTTGTTTTGTTTATACATGCACTGGGTACAGTCAGAAGTGTGGGAGGGTGAGAGAATTCACCAGAGCCAGAGTGGGGAGCAGAGCAGGCAGAAGGACCGAAGTACACTGCTGAGGGGAGCAGCGGGTTGCAGGAGAGGTCTGCGCGCCATGTGGGACCCTCCTCTGGTGGCCGGGGAGCAGCCGGGGATCGAGCCGGCGCCGCAGAGGCCGCGGGCAGCTTCGCAACCCAGCGCTCAACCGCTGCGCCACCGGGGAGGCCCCATAAATATATTTTTTTCAGTAGGTGTAAATCAAATCAGCACTAAAAGTTTGGGCTGTATTGTAGTACTTACTGTTTTCCAAGTCTATGACCATCCTATCAGTTTCCTCTGAGGAAGGCATCTCTGTTCCATGAAGAAGATTTAGATGTTGGCTGAAAACTCTCCACTGAAAAAGAACAAGGTGTTAACACTATAAACATCCTACACTTTAAGACTGAGCAATGGTTTAGTGGTCAAAATGGAAACATTTGGGATCATACTTTGATTTCAAAGAAATAGAATTCAGACTTAGAAAATGTACTTCAGAACTCATTTACTCCAATGTCCTGATCAACATGAATTATTTGACAAGCGAGTCAAATACAAATGAGTTAATGGACTTAACCCAATTATGTCTGTTAGTGGGACATCTTGAATGAAAACCTCTGTTCTTCACAATACACAGCTCTCCACTTAGCTTACACCATGGCTATTGACAGCTTCCATCTTAAGCACATCATCTGTCCTACATAATAGGGAAGGGGAGTGCAGTTTAAAGATCCTCCATGGGTAAACGACACAGGAATAATCATAATAGCTAACATATACAGTGCTTACTATGTGTCAAAGTTGATTAAGTGCACTATAGGAATTCATTTATTCCTAGGAGGTAAGCACTGTTACCTGTCCAAAGACACCTGCAGCGAGGAGGATCTGAGGTGGGACCAGATCTGCTCCTCCCCAGACTGCCTGAGTACCTGCTGGTCCCGACAGGCTGGGCCGGGTCCTCCCCTTTGCATCAAACCAGATTCAGCGACTGCGCTGCCTTTCTTCCCTGGCATGGCCTCCAAGTCTAGTCCGAAGAACCTCTAGCCACAAACGCTCTACTATCCGCCCAGCTCCTGGGCAGAGTCTGGCACCCATCACCTGGCAGCGCTGGTCCCCTAACACTTCCCGCGACAGCCAACAACTCCAATCCTAGCTCACTTCCCCAGGCAGGGCTGGCAGCCACAGGTTCGGGTCCCTCACAGCCCTGGGCAGTATCCGATTGGGTCTGGCAAGTTTTTGTTGAGTGACGGCCCTTAGGCTATAAGAGTACTTAACAGAATCAACAAGTTTTGAAGAATATTGTGGACTGATATAATGACTGCTGTGAAGCAATTCAAGGAGTTATTCAGAGCAAAGCAAGGATTCAAACCCAAGGTGACAGCATCAGATATCTTTGAGTGCCGCTTCCGCCCTGCAGATGTGGCCTTACTGTGCAGGTGGGCCACCACAGTGTGTAATTCTCCTACAGCAGAGACGAAGACATCTGGCTATATTCTGGCCCATGAAAAAGGAGGAATACCATCAATAGTATCAAGACTGATCTCTTATTCTGCAGTCAGATGTTACGGTTTGTGGGACTAGCACAAGAACGGTGGTCTATCAAGATTTCTTTCTAACTCGGTGAGTTTTCATAGATGTGAAGGCCAGGCTGTGTAGCATATCTCTGGTTCCTTCAGCAACGCTACATGACACAGGGGAGAAGGTGGCCTTGGTGCGTCACTTGGCTACATGATATTCACAGTGAAATTGGTTACTTTTTCTTTCTTTGTGCTGACTCCAAGCTTCTGCAGTTGTCTCAACAGCTTCCTCAGCGTGGACACATATTGTATTTTCCTTCTCGTTATCGCTTTAATTTTATATCTAGACACTTTTCACTCTGTAGATTACTTTTTCATTTCTACACCTAACTAGTGGTGTGCAGATATGCTACTTTGACATGTTCCTCTTGTATCCAGCACCTTAAGCATTAACACCAGCACAGTCACTGTTAACAATTTCTGGCCGCTGCTCTGCTGGGCACAGAATGAGGCGCCTGTTCCCTGCAGTTCACAACGTGGACGGGGCGGGGGTGGGGAGACGGAAAACGGACAGACCAGAAAAATACCGTCGACTATTGAAGCGAATGCAGATGGTGACGAAAACAAAGGCCTACGCGAGATAAGGGGCTCAGGGGGAACCCGCCTGGAGGAGGCGACACGGAAGCTAAGCGCGGACTGACAGCCCTTTCCGCTTACGCAGGGGGCACGCAGTTGAGGTCACTTTCTACCAGCGTCGGCCCAGGCAGCCCTTCTCGCCCGGCCCGGCCCTTCCGCTCCGCCGCGGCTGCGCAAAGCCCTACCCAATCGAAAACATCCCTCCGCTGAAAAGGGCAGCGATTGGTCCCAAGCGCCAGAGCTGCCCGGAAGGGGCGGGGCTTACAGCTATCGCCGCACAGCGGGGTGGTCCAAAGACCGACGGAAGTGCTCGAGGTTGTTGCCGGAAGTGGGAAGAGAGAGGTTGCGATGGCGGCTGAAGCGCTGGTTGAGAAGGTAAGCGCCGCTGGGGTTTCGTGAGGGTGGGGCCCGGCGAGGCGGAGGAGCGAGAGGGGGAGGCGATTCTTGGTGCTGGACCGGGGGTCGCAGACACTATGGCGTCGGCCTGGGCCGTCCCGGGAGAAGCCGAGCCGGCCCCGCTCAAGCTGGTTGTGCTCGCGGTAGGTGCCTTTGGACAGCGCGGAGGAGCAGCAGCCCGTCGCAGCGACCGAGGAGCTGGCAGCCCAGAAGCGCGAGCAGAGACTGCGCAAATTCCGGGAGTTGCACCTGAAGCGGGTGAGTAGCCCCGGGGTCCCGTCGGACCGGTCACCCGTGGGTGTTTATTGAGGGGCGAGGAAGCCGTCCAGCGCACCCGACAAACCCGCAGAGCCTTCCCCATGGTTCTCAATCTGGGAGCACATTGAAAGTGCTTCGAGAACTTTCAGAAATACACATAGTCCAGTGCAGTCATTTCTGATTTAACTTATTTGGGTTACGTTTGGCCGTGCCTGTTACTAATAATTAATTGCCTCTCTGCTATATGATTCTAGCAAATTCTTCGTTTTACTTAGGGAAATACGTGGAACGAGAGACTGAAAGAAACTTGTCCAGTGTTAAATGGAGAACTGGTTAGAGAGGCTTTTTCGTTAGAAAATTATCAGCAAATCTCCGAAACTTTGAAAATCTATAATGTCAGTGGTCCAGCTAGTTGATGGGGTATCAGATAATGGAGATAAGACTGCTGTTCTTAAGGCGACAACTTTATAGCTAGAAATTATACTATGGTAAATATTAATGCATTAGTGTGTGTGGGTGGAGGGGGTTCCAGGAAGTGACACATAGGGAAATTGACACCAAACTACTGTTTAAAAGATGAATAAGGTATTATTAGACAAATAAATAAGTGGAAGATACCCAAGCAAACAGACCAAATGTAAAGGAAGAGAATTCATATTAGAGATTCAGATCCAGCAACAACTGCTGAGAAAGGAGAAAACAACTCTCGACTATTTCAGCGTTTGGATTGGCCTGATTGGCAGCTCCAGAGTGGTTTCACAAAACTCCCATGTCACTCTTGACTATTGGTGTTAGACAGAAACAAGACTGTCCATATCTTAGAAATAAGCAGTCTTGCTAACACCGGTGACTATTAATTGCCTAATACAGCGTTGGCCTCACTCCCTTTATTCCTCACTCTTATATAAAATTTTAAGCGACTCAGTCATCAAATACTCTTGTTTTCTGACAGTGCACAGTCAGGAGCACAGCCATGCTTCCTTGAACCTTCTCCCCAATCCCCTGATACAAACCCAAATCCTGTGACTAACCTCTCCCAACACCCTCTCACCACAGTGCTTGCAGTTCTCCATGCTTTTTGTCTGCTTTGGTGCAACAAACACAGCTTTGTGTCACTACAGTGTGTTCAACTGGAGGACATTGCCAGAGCCAAGAATATTTGAAGGGTGGTGGTTGAGAGGAGTTTCTTTCTTTGTCCAGAAAAAATTAACCTGATAAACAGACACACATAAATAATCCCTGGGTAATGAACATGTGATTTGGAAATTAGGAGATGTGGCTTCCTGTACTAACTGCCATCTGCCTGTGACCTAAGAGACATCTCACTTAAGTTTTCTTTAAGATGATACCCTATTTGGTTTATGCAGGTAAATTTATTTTAAAACAAATCCTTCATTGGCATTTCAAATGGAGAATCTCTTTCATTTGCTATAATGTAAAATACTAAAATTTTATAAGAGGAGGGGTTTGGAAAAGATTAGAGAGATTAAGATAGTTATTGAAGTCCTCAGCCCCAAATCAAGGCTTTTTCCTGAAATTAATTACAGGTGAAAGAGAATTTGAAAGTATATTTCATAATGTGATGTAGTATTATTTAATGCCATCTAAAGTCCACTTAAGTACCATTGTAGTATACCTCCTCACTTTTTGAAACCTTGTTTTTATCCAAAACTAAGGGATCTGTCTTGGAACCCCAGAGCTAAACAGAGGCAAAGTTGACATTCATCTCCAGGCCCTCTGGAATAGCAAACCAGGGAAGCCCAACACATTTTTCTTGACTGTAAACGAATGCAGACCTATTTAGGTAGTTCCTTGTTTACAATCCTTTAATGACTCTCTTTTACTTTTAGGATAAAATGGGATCCTCTTGTTAACGTATCTTATTTGACCCTCAAAAAAGGCAAACGTTCTTTGGATTTATTTTCAACTGACAAACTTTTTGTGCTATGGTTTCAGAACGAAGCTCGTAAATTAAATCACCAGGAAGTTGTGGAAGAAGACAAAAGACTTAAGCTACCTGCAAATTGGGAAGCCAAGAAAGCTCGTTTGGAATGGGAACTACAGGAAGAAGAAAAGAAAAAGGTTAGGCACTCCTCTGTTTTCTTCATAGGTGGTCTGTTCAGTCATTGTGTTGTGCTGAGGCAGTAGAACATGGTGGTTTTGTTCACTGGCTCTGAGGCCAGACTGCCAGTGTTCAAATCTTAGGTCTACTTTTACTAGCTGCACCAATTTGGGTGAGTTATTTATCCTCTCTGGCCCTTTGTTTTTTGACTGCAAAATGGCTGTTACCCTAATCATTTGACTTAATTATGAATTAAATGAGTCAATGCGTGTAAAGCATTTAAGCAGGATCTGATATCTCATCAGCGTTGAATCAGTAGTGTTTTTTAGGGTGATGTACTCACTTCTTACATGCCATAGTAGATTCCCACGTTTCCTTCATAAATAATTTCTAAGGTATTGATTAATATCATTGTTGAATCTGGATTTAAAATAGGTAAAGGAGTTGCTTAGAAAATATTGTAAATGTCAGCTCTTTTTTTTTTTTCTTTTTAGGAATGTGCAGCAAGAGGGGAAGACTATGAGAAAGTAAAGTTGCTGGAAATCAGTGCAGAAGATGCAGAAAGATGGGAGAGGAAAAAGAAGAGAAAAAACCCTGATCTGGGATTTTCAGGTAAAACTGACTTTTACTTTATTTGCCTTTAGTACATTTGATTTTAAGAAAGTATATTTCCCTTCATGGAATATGTTTTAAGAGGGTAAGCCCATGAACAATATGTATTCATACCACAAGTCAAAAGGATATAGGATTTATGTGCTGCATTTTTTCTTTCTTTTTGGTAAAATTATTCAAAAACTGTATTATCAGCATCTGAATTATCAGGATAAAGACTATACTTAGTGTTTTGTTCTCTTATTACTAATTTTGAGTTTTCTCCCAAAAGTAATGCCCAAACAAGGAAATAAATCATCTCTGATTCTGATTTTTTTTTTTTAAGATTATGCTGCTGCCCAGTTACGCCAGTATCATCGGTTGACCAAGCAGATCAAACCTGACATGGAAACTTATGAGAGGTTGAGGGAAAAGCAGTAAGTTGACAGGACTAATACAAGTCTTTCTTCATTTCAAAGTGCTATAAATGTACTTGTGTGTGTATGTATAAATGTACACACGCATCAATACAAGCACACTTTAGTGCTCAGTGTGGCTATCGACAGCTCTATATGGTCTTGACAACACAATTAATTGCTCACTTCACAGCAGTTAAGCTAACCACCTGGCAGGCTTTCTATCTGGGCATTCTAAGACTGGGTTTTGACTGCTTAACATTCAGATTACCATGGTTACACAGGCATTATTTTAGGAGGCAGAAGGTTTTATTTTATTTATTTATTTATTTTTTTTAGGCAGAAGGTTTTAATGCTGGAATGGGTGAACTTTTCTGTAAAGGACCAGATAGTAAAATCCAGTCTCTGTCACTCCTCAGCTTTCCCATGAAATGTGAAAGCAGCGATTGAAGAGACAAACATAAGTGGCTTTCACTACGTCCCAGGGCAGCTGTGTATAGAAACAGATATGGTAATTTGCTGACCCCTGGGTTTCTGGCCCACTGAACCCAGAAGCAAGTCCTTTAAGCTCTGGTCCTTGGCTTTTCCTTTGTAGAGTGAAGTTATGGGAGTAAGTGATCTTTTTGCTCTCTTCCAATTCTTTGTTCTCTTTTTTTTTTTTTTTTAAGTTAAGAACTCACAGTAAATATATGTATACTTTTAGCCCAAATGGTAGTTTAGATCAAAACTTGAACATATGGTATACTTGTCCATTTTGCTGTCTTTTCAGTGGAGAAGAGTTTTTCCCAACATCCAATAGTCTTCTTCATGGAACACACGTACCTTCCACAGAGGAAATTGATAGGATGGTCATAGATCTGGAAAAACAGTAAGTTCTCAGTACAGCAGCCTGAAATTTTAAATGCTTAGTGGTGGAATGGATGTAACATGCTTTGAATAAATTGAATAGTCAGGAATCACACTTGTTAATTTATGGCCTAGATCTGCAGTGGTTGTAGTGACAAACAGCGAGTATGTCTTGGGTCTATATGACTTGGAATGGAGGCGCAAAATACCAGAATGAATTGCTACAGTTGAGGTATAGGGAAAAGTCTAAAGAAAATTATTCTTGCTCTGTACTCTAACGACCATTCCACTATTTGATTTGAAGAAGTAAGAATGTGCTAGTAAACGCCACCTTGATTTTGTTTGTTTCTTAACAGTAGGCAGAGAGAGTGAAGGTATGTTTTAGGAGTTAGTACACATAATTAATGACAGTGTCTAGCACATACTGCACTCCATATTAGCTGTGGTTATTATTATTATTTTTTAAAGATTTATTTATTTATATAAGCACTGGGGTACAGGCCAGAGGTGCAGGAGGGTGAGATTATTCACCAGAGACAGAGCAGGGAGCAGAACAGGCAGAAGGACTGAAGTACACTGCTGAGGGGGGGAGCAATGGACGAGGCAGGAGAGGTCTGCCGTGGCATGTTGGAATCTCCCTGGCTGGCCAGGAATCAAACCGACGCTGCAGAGGCTGTGGACAGCTTCACAGCGCTACGCTCAACCTGCTGTGCCACCGGGGAGGCCCAGCTGTGGTTGTTGTTATTATTTTTTAAAGATTTATTTATTTATTTATACAAGCACTGGTACAGTCAGAAGCGCGGGAGGGTGAGAGAATCACCAGAGCCAGAGTGGGGAATAGAACAGACAGACCAACAAAATACACTGCTGAGGGGAGCAGCGGGTGTGGCAGGAGAGGTCTGCGTGCCATGTGGGACCCTCGCCCGGCGGCTGGGGATTGAACCGGCACTGCAGAGGCTGCGGGCAGTTTCGTAGCCCAGCGCTCAACCGCTGCGCCGCCAGGGGAGGCCCCAGCTGTGGTTATTATTAATAAAATAATTATTTAACATTCCTTGAAGTAATACTTCATGGATCTAGTTTCTAATAACATATCTTTGTTCTTTTACAAGCTTTTTGAAGATGAATTTTGCTGAATTTCACATTTCTTACCTGGACTTTGCTATTAGCTAGCATTTTCAACTTGAACTCCCCCCTCTACCAACTCTACTTGGTTCTTAACTATTTGTTCATGTTTTATTAACTTCAAAAAAGAAGTCCATTTTGAATTTTTAAAATTACTTTGTTCTTCCCCCAGAATTGAAAAACGAGACAAATATAGCCGGAGACGTCCTTATAATGATGATGCAGATGTCGACTACATTAATGAGAGGAATGCCAAGTTCAACAAGAAGGCAGAAAGATTCTATGGGAAATATACAGCTGAAATTAAACAGAATTTGGAAAGAGGGACAGCTGTGTAATCCCTTCAGGAACTGTTTGGAAGCTTGAGAATAAAGTGAAGCTTTCTGCTAGCAAATTCTACTTCTGGTAAACCAGAACTCAAATCTATGCCTTCACACTTAGCATTTAGAAATAAATGTTTTTACTTAAACATATACTTTCATGGATATTTCCACATTTTTGTGCTTGGATATAAGATGTATTTCTTGTAGTGTACTTGTTTTGTAAAAATCTACTTTGTATAAATTCTAATTATATTATTTTTCTATGTATTTTTAATGTGTATCATTTAAATTTTTGAAGCATTTCAGGCTGAAGATGCTGGCAGCATACATAATGCAGTCATTGTGGCTTTGAATATTGATATGAATTTGACAGGTCTAGAGCTGGGCTCAGGAACCATTTGGGGTTTTATACTCTGCAGGGAGTGGCGGTGGCTTGGGTACTGCTGCCCGTGACCGCTGGTGACCAGCTTGAGGAAGTAACAGAACTATCCCCCCATGAACACTGACCACATACAGTTTTCTTTTCTAAGTAGCGAATACCCTATGGAATAGTCTGTACTAAACAGTTTGTGTATATACAGAAATATTAAAAGGTTTTTATTATGGGACATTTCAGATATTCAAAAGAAGACAATAATATAATGAATCCCATGTACCCACGCCCTGTCTTCAGCAATCAGCAACTCATGGCCAATCTTGTTTCATCTTTATTTCTGTCCCTTTTTTCCTTTATGTTATTTTGAAACAAATACTGGATTGTATAATTTCATCTATAAACATTTCAGTATGTATTTGAAAGACTAAAAAAAATAAGGAACACAATACCATGATGACAATTTTAATTTAATAAAAGTCCAGAGAAAAATTGTTGTAATTTTTGCTACACGTTGATTAAAATGTTCAATATCTAAGTAGGACATTCCAAATTGAAAGAAATCTGAAACACATGAAATTTTGCAAATACTTCTGCTTTAGTATTTAAAGACCAATTTAACATTTAATACCATTGCTGAGTATTCCCTTTAAAAAAATCTTTGTTGCACTTCCCACTGAATAATCAGTTTTCATGCAGATTTTTAGCATTTCTATGGACACTGAATCAGGTCTGGGCACAGGGCATTGATGTTATCTCTGAAAATGCATTTAATGTGTTTCTATTCCCATCTCCACTAAGTAAGTTCTTTGATACTGAATATCGCAGTAACCTTAGAAAATAAGTTTAAAACATTGTCAAGTGGAATCCAGCAATGAAAACTGTAACCTGGGTGGGTTAATTCTGAGAGTGCAAAAGTACTTTGTTGTAGAGCCTGTTAGTTGTCTGGTGAATATCAATTCTTCTTTACCAACCAGAAGCCTTATTTTTTTGTGAATTTGTAGTAAGAGTTCCAGCTAAACACCCTTCCTGAGACAGATTTGCAGTTAGAGGCAATCATAACTCTGGCAAAGGCACCATCTCATTTATTTTGAGAAGTCTTGTTTTTTGAATTTGGAGTTGCCCTCTTAGATCCCCCTTCCTTCTTTCTACTCGGAACACACACTTGAGGCTTGGAGTGACAGCAGCCACTTTGTGCACAAAGTCACACTCGTTAGGACAATAGTTGATGTGCTGAGGAGAGTGAAGCAGAGCTTGGGTGCCTGTTGGCATTACTGAGCAGCTTCACCAGTGGACGCCTACCTCTCTTCCTGTTTCCGCTGCTGAATAAATTTATGACTAACGCACAGATCAATTTCAAGACATCTGTTAACATATGTTAAATATACGAAAATGAAGGTATCCGAAAATGGAGATGGAAGGAAATAGTTCTTAAAATACCAATAAAAATTAGAAGAGATTAAGAAGACACAGGACCTTTGTGAAGAAAATGATAAAATTGAGAGAATAAACAATTCTAGTTTCAAGCAAGATGGAATGACGGAATGTTTTTACTTTCCAGCTTAACACCTTTCCCCCACCCCAGTGATAGAATATATAAAACAACAGTTTCAGATACTGCAAATCAGGAGGTGAGGAAGGCCAGAGAGAAAACAAGGGGAGCCCTATGATAGCCCCAGCTTATTGCCTCTGGAGAACTTACAAAAAGCTGTGGTGTGTGGAGGGAGAAGCCGGGCAAAGCCCAGAGAACTCCCTTAGAGCTGAAAGAGATAGGGCTGAAAGTCTCAGTGAGAGCACAGCAGTGAGAGCTCAGTGCTGGCCAGGAGGGGACTGCAACAGAGAAGTCTTGAAGTCTACAGTGTCTCTTCAGGTATGAGGCATGGTCCCAGCGTGTATGTGAGGACATGACGAGGCTGAAGAAAGAGCCACCGGAAAGGATGAGAGGGAATAGTACCTGGTACTCACGCGTGGTTAGAAATAGTGGTTTTTCCACCTCTGGAGTGGAAAACGTAATAATTTACGGGAACGAGGGCCTCCCTGGTGGCGCAGGTGGTTGAGCACTGCACCGTGAAGCTGTCTGTAGCTTCTGCAGCGCGGGTTCGATTCCAGTCGGCCAGTGAGAATCCCACATGGCGCAGCAGACCTCTCCTGTCTTGCCCACTGCTCCCCTCAACAGTATATTTCATCAGTCTGCCTGTTCTGTTCCCTGCTCTGTCTGGTGAATCCTCTCACACTCCTGCGCATCTGGCCTGTGCCCCAGTTCTTGTATCAACAAAGTAAATCTTAAAAAAAAAAAAAAAATTACGGGAACAATACTGGGAAGGCTTTACTCTAGTAGTGGGGAGTAATCAGCCCTAGGCCAAACACTGCTTGGGTCTTGGCTAACAATCTTAAAAGGAAGACCTGAAATAATTAAACTGCAGTAATTTAACTGCATCCCAGAATAAAGATTAATTATAAAGCACAGAAACATCCATTCCCAACATCAAATTTAGTGTCCAATATCTTTATCATAATGAGAAGAAATGTCAATCTAAACTGCCAAGGAATGACACACATGTTCGAATTAAGAGACAAGTCAGTTAATTTACAGCATGTAATCGAAAAGTTAAGAGACATAAAAATACAAAAACGATCTGGGGCTTCCCCAGTGGCTCAGTGGGTTGAGCGCAGCGCTGTGAGGCTGTCTGCAGCCTCTGCAGTGCTGGTTCGATTCCCGGCCGACCAGGGAGATTCCCACATGGCGAAGCAGACCTCTCCTGTCTCGCCCGCTGCTCACCTCAGCAGTGTACTTCGGTCCTGCTGCCTGGTGTGCTCCCTGCTCTGTCTCTGGTGAATTCTCTCATCCTCCCGCGCCTCTGGCCTGTACCCCAGTGCTTGCATAAATAAATAAATCTTAAAAAACAACAACCCCCACCCCCCCAAGAAGATTTGCTCTGAAACTTCTACATGAAATGAAAAATAGACTGTGTCACTCTGTGCATGACGTGGAGTTTCCAAGAAGAGGGCAGGCAGACTGCTGCCTATGGAAGACTCTGTACCAGAAGTCTGGTCTCTTTTTGTTCAAATATGAGCAAATATGAGGTTTTATGAAAGATGTTAATGCCGAGTGGGGACATAGTCCCCACGTTGAGAAAGAATTAATGCTAGGGGGACAAGTGTGTTTCTTCAGTTGGAAATGGTCCCTTGGGGAGAGATGTGAAGAATACTCAAGAACCTCAGAAATGCACCCTGGAAGATTATAGATATTCATCACATATATGTAAAGGCTAAATGTAAAACATTAAAATAAACCACAAGTTTACAAAATCTCGTCTTGACACTTCTTATAAGGACCAGCCCAGCCCTGGCCTGTTGTTCAGAGCCCCCTGAACACAAGGAGAGCCCCCCCAGAAACGGTGGGGAAGGAACGCCAGACCCTAGAACAGCGCCCCGGTGATCACGCCCTCAGTTAGCGCCCCCTTGTGGGAGCTGAGGAGCATAGCTTCCAAATCACTCTTGGTTTTTAAATCCAAGAAGTAAGCTTTTGGCTTTTTTCTAGTTACCTGCAGTAACGTGTACAACCTGAGCGTACACATACATAAATTTTCACATATTTATAATCCTGGGCACCCACCAACCAAGACAAGCCAATAGGGACCCCTTGTGACCTCTGGCCACCCAAGGTCCCTGTTAACATGACTTCTGTCACCTCAGATTAGTTTGTGGTTTTTGAGCTTCCTATGTGGAATCGGAACAGCTGCCCTTTGGGGTCTGACTTTCTTCACCCAACACTGTGTCTAGAGAGAGATCTGGCCAGGTTGGCTATTGCTTACACTTTACATCGCTGTCCAACTTCCAGGTCATCTGATTCTATGAGGAGGGAGGAAGTGAGGAAGAATCAGGTTGAAATCCTGGAAATCTTAGAGTGGGTGGATTCAGCTTCCTCAGGAAAACAAGGGTCACTTGGCAGGAAGTCTTCAGCTGCCTCTCCCACCACTGCACGCGGCTCAGGGACAGGTGGTTACCTGGCCTCTTCCAGGAGGGAGCAGCTGTCCTCCTTGCCTGTACTCCAGAACCTTGACCTCACCTGGGCCTGATGTCCTTGACAAGGTTCTGGCCTTGGGGCTGGTGCTGCCCTGTCTTAAGACTTGGTTGCAGTGGGACGAGTACGTGAGGTGCATGTGGGAGGGATGTGAGTTTCGTTGGCTGGAGTTGAGTTGGTGGCAGGTTGTAATTCCCAGGCGTTTTCCCATGATGTTGATGTTCTCCACTGAGGGGTTTCTTAGGGCTGCTATAATGACGAACCCCAAGTTGGGTGGCTTAGACAACAGATATTTCTTGTCTCATGGTTCTGGAGGCCAGGAGTCTGAGATCAAGGCCTCGGTTGGGTTCCTTCCTTCTGAGGGCTGTGCGGGAGAATCTATTCACAGCCTCCTCTAGCTCTGGGCGGGATGGGGTGGGGGGCCGGTACTGGAGCCTTTGGTGTTTCTTGGCACTTAGAAGCATCACCCTGATCTCTGCCTTCATCTTCACATGGATCTGTCTCCAAATGTCCCCACTTATAGGGATACCATTCACGTGACTTGGGCCCACCCTAATGACCTCAATTTAATTTGATGAATTAAATCTGTAAGAACCTCATCTCCATGTAATGTTACAGTCTGAAGTGTGGGGTAGGACTTTAACATGTGAATTTGGGTCGGGTACATGTAGTAGAATTTTCCAGAGAGAACTCTGACAACACACACTCACACCATCATGACATATATAATCTCTATATAAATCTCTCTACCTAGGTACAGTTAAAAGATAAGCTGAGGCATAGTAACAATTTTAAGGTTTTTTTAAGCAAAAATCAATTCAAATCAGACAGGATCCAATCTCGCAGACAGAAAGGAGCTTCAAGGAATTGTATAAAATGACTTTTGTAGCCAGAAGGGAGTGGAAAGCTATACTAGGCAATAAGTGGCTTGGTTAATTAATTAATTAACGGTTAATTACTGGCCTTTAGGGGATGGCAGAGCCCGTCAGGCAATTCCCTAACTGGTCCTGATCAGGTGATTCCGATTGGCTGGTTTGATTCCATTTCTGGGAGAGCCAAACTCTAACTACATCTTGATTTGGTCTCCTTGGTGGATTTAATGCTGGAGGAGGGACCTGGATACAGGCAGGCCAGAGGGCGGGGTGCTGGGGGGCTGGCAGCAATTGAGCTCCTGTCACCCCACCACCATGGGGATCTCTACTCTCTCCTTTCAGTCTCATCAGGCCTTGTACTCATAGGTACGCACCCCCAGGATCCCCAGCTTCTTTCACCGAGTGTCCACAATTACAGCTGTGTGTGCCACCTGCCCACGTTCCTCAGCCCAGGCATCCCTGTGTGCCTCAGGATCCCAACACGGGGCCAACACGATATCACGTGTAGGCAATGAAACCTGGGCGGACAAGACCACAGGGTGACCATAGAGGCCAGCAGTGGGAAGAGAAAAAGCCAGATTGACTCCATTTTCCCTACAGGCCATTAATGTCTCTTCTCCAATTCCGCATCTGTTACATGAGGCAATGACATTACTTACCTCGTCGTGTTCTTGTGAATACTCTTAACATGCTAGAAAAGTCTAGCACGCAGTAGGCCCCTTACATGTGAGTGCTGACCTGCTGGGACTGGGGGAGAGATCTGGATGTTCTGCTGCTCCCAGAACCTGCCATATTTGAGTTTGGCCACAAAGAAGGGAGGAGCTGTGGGTGCCTCCCGTGTGTCACCTCCCCTGGCTCGGGCGCCCTTCTCATCCCTCCCCTCGGCTCCCCGCTAATGCACCACAATTGCTTTTTCATTAGTAGCCACAAAACTCACATGCAGTAGCTCTCCACCACTGAGGTCTGTAGTTAATGGTGGCCGTGTCCACCGAAACATGAGGCTGAGCGGTTCACTGCAGCTTTGTGAGGACAGAATCAGCCTCTCAAATTAAGGAGCCACTGCATTACCTGCCCTCAGGCAAGCAGGAAGCAAAATGGCCTCACCAGATGTCCCGAGTGCGGGGGCCTGGGGCTCTCAGGACTTCCAAGGGTGCTCATTCCAGAGGATTCTCAATCAAAGCACAACCCCAGGCAGACACATTTTCACACTAGCATGCCCACAACATGTGTGGAAAAAAGCGGGGGGGGGGGAATCTGTGTAGATCTAAGTCAAACTAATTAGCTGTCAGCTGCATCGCATCTGGAGATCAAATATAAACTGTTGGCATCAAAAACCGTTCCGGTCCCTGTCATTTCCGTTCTCCTGGTACCACGCCATCCTTTGTAACAGGGCCCTAATATGTTTCTCCACGCTGACAAAAATCCAGCAGCCAGCCAGGCGCGGAATCCCAAGTCATCTGCTAGTGGAGGCTATAATGTCCCTTTATTTTGAGCTTGGAATTAGAAAGGGTGGTCCTTTGCTGGGGTGCTTAGGTGAGAGTGGGTCATTGCATTCTCAGTTGATCGAAATGCAAATATTTACACAGTTACCTATTAACCTGGCCCTTTTTGCTACTGTTCTGTGTGCAAAAATTACAAAGCCCAGGATCTGAAACAGGCTCATGTTGACCAATCTCCTGCTGAATTTCACCAGCTGCACCTGGTGAAAGTGGTTCTTTGGCCTCAGGTAGGGGGGCTGGGGTGTGGATTTTGCCTTTTGGAAGAGGTTTGTGCATCTGGTGGTGGAGAGTGACCAGAGAACAGAGCCAGCAGCGCTTTTATTCTATTTAGATATTTAAAGTGTTTTTCCCTTGGTGGAAAATAATCTGTTTCTGGTTTAGGTTGATTTAAAATCACTGCCATTTTATTGTAAATAATGTGACAACTCATTTCTTTAAAGAAGCTTTGGAATATG